CAGACAGGCAGCTGTTTGGGTGGGAGCACCATCTTTCCTATATATTTGACTTGTGGTCATCCAAGGCAATCACAACCTGACACTGTAGGACTCTTCCACGGGATTTGCAGTTTGGCTTCCATGTTGTGGGGTTGCCAGCAGGCAGGGAGAAATTCACGAGCCATCCGGGCTGCTTTCGCCAAGGGATATCTTTTCATTTGAAGAAACAGGTGTGCATTGAGTCAGCTGATATCACAGAATCATAGAATAGTTTGCATTAAAAAGGAATTTTAAAGGTCATCTAGTCCAACCCCCCAGCAATGAGCAGGGGCATGTTCAACTAGATCTGGTTGCTCAGAGCCCCCTGCGACCTGACCTTGGCTGTTTCCAGGGCTGGGGCATCTCCCATCTCTCTGGGCAACCTGTGCCAGTGTTTTGCCAGCCTCATGGTAAGAACTGCCTTCCTTGTACCTAGTCTGAATCTACCCTCTTTTAGTTTAAACCTCTTACCCCTTGTCCCATTCCTACAGGCACTACTAAAAAGTCTGTCCCCATCTCTCTTACAAGCGCCCTTTAAGTACTGAAAGGCCACAATAAGGTCTCCCTGGAGCCTTCTCTTCTCCAGGCTGGGCAACTCCAACTCTCTCAGCATGTACTCAGCCAGCCCTCAGATCATTTTTTTTTGGCCTCCTCTGGACCTGCTCCACCAGGCCCATGTCCTTTCTGTACGAATACAGACATGTATTAGTACAGAATATTTTTGGCTTTGACCCTGTGTTGCAGATTAGGGTCAGTCTGCTGAGAAATCACAGCTGATTATGAGTTATTAACCTCCGGTTCTCTGTCTTGATCGATCTTATAATCCTGTTAGCAAGTATGAATCAACAAATGCAAATTACGAACCTGTTTTTTTCCTTGGTGCCGACAACCTAGAACAAAACATGTTTTTGTCACTGCTGGCTCATATCTTGCTCTGCGCAGATGTTGATCAGGGCAGGATGTCTTCCATCAGACTGTTGCCTACGGGTACAAGGCATTTGTGATGGATGATTTTGGCGGTGCTTCCAAACGTGTCAGAGCCCAGAAAACAAGGGGTAATTGTACAACAGAAATAACAACTAACCAGAACTTCTCTGTAGCTCTTGAAGGAACACGTATTTTGAGAGTCCAGCTGCAACCCAAGAAGATCATTATGAAGCTGGATACCTATCTTCTTCCCCTGTACCATCCTGTGGCTACATACACAAACATCCTGCCTGCCACAAAATGGTCGGTCATAAGATTTTCCCCTTGCTTCTTCGAAGGTAGTTGCTTGAGTGGGCTTAAGAGAGGTCTTGTGAGTTCAGGGGACTTTGTTCATGCGCTAAATTTCCAGGCACCACCAGTATAAGGGAATGGGTGGCTAGGTGGGACATGGCAAACCCCATGGCACTTGCAAGGCAGTGAGGCCCTGCTCCAAAACTCCTTTCTCCAGGCCACAGCTCGCACGTGGACCAGGGACCAGCCTGACCAGGGGGGCGAAAGATGCGATTCCTCACCCTGGGCAGAGAAGAGGGAGCCCAGAGAGGGTCCTGCAACACTCCCATGGCTCTGGCACTGCTTTTTCTCCCCCAGGCTCTTGCCGACAGTGTTCTGTGACCACGGTGTGGCAATGCCATGTCCGAAGCTGCTGTCTCATGGGGCTGTGCGGAGGAGACAAGCGCAGGAGGGGAGATGGTGCCTGTGCAGGGGAGGGGGCAGGTGAGCAGCAAGCAGGCTCTCTGCTCTGTTAGCTCGCTTTCCCCCGTGAAGCACTGTACAAACAGCAGAGGCAATAAAACTCGAGATGAACAAGACAAAGTCAGTTATTTACTGCCCTAAAGCAGGGCAAGATTGTTCCCCATGGTGAGTTTCCAAGTGCCTTTTGCTTCTAGTCTGCTTTTAAATGACGCATATGATGTGGCTTCCTCCAGCTCCTGGAGGGGGGAAGGAGAAGAGAGACTCTACCACACTGCAATAAATCTCCCTTTTCTAAAGCTTTTGCTGTATCTAAAATGCCACTGAGTCGCTGCACTGCTGTGGGCATTGCAGTAATTGCCCTGGTGAGCAGAGAGAGCTGTTCTGCTGGCTTGACCTGTTGAGGGTGTGAAGGACACTCCTACATGCTCTTATGACCACTGGCCTCACCAGTGGCAAAGTGGGCGCTGAGACACGTGTGTCCTCTGCTGTCCTGGGACTGGGAGAGGTGGCTATCTGAGCAAGGAGGAGGTGGGTGACTCAGGATGACCCAGGAGCTGGTGGCACTTCCAGCACTAGTCTGGGGCAGGTGTTTTAGTAAGGATCACTATAAGCAATTGCAGATGTGTCCTCTGCCCGCCCTGAACTGCTTCTGAACAAGGTGTCTTTGGTCACACCCTGGGGATGAGGAACTGGTCCGGGAGGAGGAGTGGATGGTCAGGACTCACACTGGGGACCAGCAGAGTTGTGAATGTATTTCAAGTATTTTCATGTCATTTCAGGACAACTGAGCAATGCAAGAACGTGCTAGTAAAGGCTGTTAGTCTTCTGTTCCTGTGACTGAAGTGGTGGACATCCTATTCCACTGGACACCACAGTCAGCCAGGCAGTGGCCACTGAAAAGGGTTGGACCCATGGAGGAGACCCTAGGCGTGATGGGAGAAGAGTGTGTGAACAGAACAAATGTATTTCCCCAGAAATATTTCACAATCACCAAAAAATCACAGCTCAGGGACCACTTGTGGCAGAGGGGTGCCCCTGTTTAATGGACATTGGTGGATTTTTACCCTCATGAATTTGTAGAACCATCTGTAGGTCCCTTTTTTAGCACCTCCAGCATCCTGTGTCAAGAACTTCTAGAGGTGTACCCCAGTGCATGAAAAGCAGTTTGAGCTTATTGTGAAGCTGAGCAGTCAAAGCCATGTGGGCAGCGAAACATATTTCCCTATGAACTGGGCTGGCTGCTCCTGTAGGTGAGAGCTCCAGCCAGGCAGCTGCTGCCCCTAATGCTGGAGTTTGACACATGCATGAACATTTCAGGTGGAAAAAATCAGTATCTATAGCTTCACAGTCCTGTTGTGATTTGTGCACTTGTGGTAGAGCCTGGAGGCTGTGCTGTGATCTTGAGGCCCATCACGTCAGGTCCTGTGCAAATACTCGCTGAGGTCACTCCAGAGAGCTCCAACTCATTCCCATTGGGAGTGAGGGACAGGTCCTTTGCCATTCTGATGAGATTATAAATAGATATTTTGTCCCCAGGGGGGTTCCTACGAAGTCAAAATTGAGAGGGTGGTATGCAACAGGCACTTCTTCACTAGGAAATGGGTGATAAGGACGTGTGTGCTTGTGTCTGTGCAAAAACAAACATAGGGACAATAAAGACCAGTGACAATATTTAGTATTTGCCATGGGTTAGGAACACCTGCACTGCTGGTGATGGTTGATGCATTGTGCCCTGTGTTTTAGGAAATAGACTGCATGTTGGTGCTTTGCTTAATACTGATTTGTTAATTTGCTGCTTCTTCTCTCATGCAGGACTTGTGCTGGCAAACTGCACGAGCAAGGAAAACTGACTTTTGTTCAGGTGACACCAACGGATGGATTTTCAGTTTCTCTGGGCTTCCCTGGGTCAGTAGCTTTACATGTAGGAACTGATAAGAGGGGAATACCCAGGAATCCACTCAGATCCACCACACCTGGCCCCTCTTTCCTGTCTCCCGAAACAGCACAGAAGAGGCCAAAGGGGCTGGGAGGCATAAGGGTGATGGGGTCTGGCCATCACTGGAGCAAACCTCCACCCCCACAATGAAATGCCTGAGGGGCTCCTTGGGGCCCCAGGAGAGGCTGGGCAGCGTCTGAGGGGATTTGTGCCTGTGTCTGCAAGGAATCTGTGGCATCTCCTCCCCACCATGATAGCGGGAGCTTATCGGGGGTTTCCTTCGGATGCCTTCACGTCTGAGCCAGCGGCAGCCTCTGGGCTGGGGCCGCTTGGCTCTGAGAAAGCTGATCCAGCTGCTGCATCCTGGCTTTTTTCTCCCCTGCAGAGAGAGCAAGGACGAACCCCACATGACAGGCATTGCTCGCTGCCAACGTGAGTCATGCCAGCCACTGGATGGCCTTTGGACACCCCGTGGCAGGTGTGATAGGGGAGAGCACAGTCGTGTGGCTGATGGTAATTCACTGATTACACACATGGGTACTGATTAGTTGCACTAGTTGGTTCTTCACCCCACAAAGTACCTGTATCACAGCTAGCGGTGAAAATGGTCTGGTGGACGAGAAGCTCAACATGAGGCAGCAGTGTGTGTTGGCAGCCCAGAAAGCCAACTGCATCCTGGGCTGCATCAAAAGAAGCGTGGCCAGCAGGTCAAGGGAGGTGATTCTGCCCCTCTGCTCTGCTCTGCTCTGGTGAGACCCCACCTGGAGCACTGTGTCCAGCTCTGGAGACCTCGGCATAGGAAGGACGTGGACCTGTTGGAACAGGTCCAGTGGAGGGCCATGAAGATGATCAGAGGGATGGAGCTCCTCCCCTATGAAGACAGGCTGAGGGAATTGAGGTTTTTCAGCCTGGAGAAGAAAAGGCTCTGGGGAGACCTTATAACAGCCTTCAACTACCTGAAGGGGACTACAGGAGAGATGGGGAGGGACTCTTTGTCAGAGAGTGGAGCTATAGGACGAGCAGTAACAGGTGTAAACTAAAAAAAGGGGAGATTTAGATTAGATCTTAGGAAGAAATTCTTCACTTGGAAGGTGACGAGACACTGGAACAGGCTGCCCAGAGAAGCTGTGGATGGCCCATCTCTGGAGGGGTTCAAGACCAGGCTGGATGGGGCTCTGAGCAACCTGGTCTGCCCAGGGCGGGGGGTTGGAACTCGATGATCTTTAAGGTCTCTTCCACCTCTAACCATTGTGTGGTTCTATGGTTTGTCTATGCGTTTAGCACCATCTCTTGAAGGGTGTAGCTTACGTGTGTGGAATGTATGGATGCATCCCACCCTTAAGCATCTTGGTGGCTGTGAAGAAGGACTGCGTTGACTCATGGCTTAGCCTTGCTCCAGCAGCGCTAAGGGGCCAGGTGTGGCTGTGTTCGTGTCATTGTCCCCTGCTCTGGTTTTGCTCTTTGGGACTGTCAACACAGGCTCGTGCCTTTTTGGTGCTGCTTAGGGTGATACTGGGCTGGCAGGTCCTGCAGACCCTTCTGGACTGGAGCGTCTGGAGGAGCAATGAGGCAGAGGAGATGGAATGAATTGAACCATGAGGGGTTCCGTTTGTAATGTGGCACCATATGTAAGAGCAAACTTGTTGCATCCTGAGGGGAGGACACAGCCATTCTGTGGTGTCTCCTGGGTTCTTTCAGAGGCAGGGAAACATTCAGGTCAGCATGCTGGCTCCATCAGACTGCCACTTCAGGACCCCACTGAACTCACCCAGTGCCTCCCCCTCAAGCCTGCAGCTTTTCCTATTTAATCTCTCCTTTCAGAATGTGGGTGTTCACTCTCTCTTCCAGGAGAAAGCCTGTCTCCTCTTATCTCCAGGGTGATGATGTCCTATGAGCCCTGTGGTTTCCCTGGCTTTCACCTTATCTGTAGATTGAAGGCAGACCTGAGCAGGCGGCTCAAAGCTCAGCAGGACATTTGCACCCACAGAGCGCACTGCTCCCTACCTGGGTCTGGAGGTGCTCGATGCTCACAAGTCAGGGACAGGGCAGAGAATGGGGGATGACAGCAGATGAAGAGCTCATAGGACCTCTTGTGGGACCTGAGGTTCCCCTGTGTCTTTCTCTCTCTGTTAAATACCCTAGGGTGCGCATGGAGGAGACTTCCCAGGACTGTGTGCAGATGGAAGCCAGTGAGATGCCTCAAATACCATTATGCTTTGCTTGTATAAAACTGACCCAATTCTGCCTGGAAATCCAGATGGAGATCAGGAGGGGAGGGTGGCCCAGTGTGGGGTGGGTAGGTGCCTGCCTCTGCTCTGTTGCCCAACAATGGGGCCAGCGCTTCCACAGGAGGCGACCTGTTCCTGGGCAGCCCTGTTCTCCCCTGATGACCAACAGGAGCCACGTAAGTCCCCTCCTGCTGACACCACCGCCTCAGGGATTACCTCTGGCTGAGCGAGCTTTAGCAGTCTGGGGCAGGGAGGCACCGTGCCCCCGGTGAGGGAAGCAGAGGGCTGCAGACCAGAGCAGGATCCCACTATCATGCCACCAGATCCCTGTGCTGGTCCCTCTGGCTCCCACTTCTGCCCAGCGTGGTAAGAGCTACCCAAGTTTCACTGGAAAGGAGCACGTGCAGGTGATGTGTCTTTGGCCAGCTTCTGGGCAGGGGGTGATGGCATGCAGGGTGAGCTGAAGGGCTGTGGAGGATGGTGTCCTGGGAATGGGGAGCTGGGTAGCAGTAAGGAGAACAAAGGCATCTGCTGAGAGACAGGTATCTGGGGTGTTTGTGACTCACTCAGTGCCTGCCATCTGTTAAGGAGAGGGTGAGATAGACCATGAACGTTAGATGTGGGACCATGGGTTGTTGGTACTCTAGGTATGTTGAGTGGTGTCTGTCCTGGACTGCTAAGGTCATACCAGGGGTGTACTGGTCTCTGACCTGACTGTCCTTCCTCAAGGGGCCTGGAGATGTCTCAGTGACATGTTCGTTTGGTCTGATGGAGGAGCAAGCTGCCCTCATCCACGGTGAGGAGCTCCTCTGCTGTGAGGAGCTCCTCTGCTGTGCTGTCTGCTCATGCTCCTCTGAGCCTCTGGGGAGAAGTTAATGCTTCACCAGCAGGGCTGAAGCTAGTAGGATGGCAACATTCCAGCTCTTGATTAGCGCAATTAAGAGATAAATGAGCTTCTGGGTGCAGAGGAAACATGTGCACTGTCAAACTGGGTTGGAGACGCTATTCCTTGCAGAAGGGTTGACTGCCCTGGAGTCCCTGGGCACTCATCCTTCCCAGGGATGCTCTAGCAGGACCCAGGAGGGTTGTTCCCCTGGCTCTTCAGTGCCATATTTATCAACAGCAGCACTATTAGTGGGCTTAGACTGTGCCAGAATTTTCCTCTCCAAACAGGCCTTTATTACTCGTGCTGAAAGCACACCTGCCTTAGGGAAGAAAATGGGTTTGGTTTAGCAGGTGGTTGCTTAATGTGTGGTTGAAAACACAGTAAAATCATTGTATGGTCAATGTTGAGTGAAGTTTCAACGTGTGAACAAGTCAAGGTAAACATCAGGAGGTGGTGCAGAGCTAAGTGTGAGCAGCTAATGCTTCCAACGAACCCAACGGGAAAACTTTATGGGATAGTACCTGTAAGAGATGAGTTAACTCATGGCTGCGATGGGGTAATGCTGGCACATGAACAAATGACTTTGAGAATTGGGCTGGAAATTAGACAAAAATCTCTAATCTCCACAGAATCAAGTTGTGGTAACAGGCTTCCAGCAGAAGCAGTTGGGGCGAAAAGCACTTACCCCTAAAATGGTGACTGGCCTGGTGAGGAAAGAGATGTGGTGTGGCTGCTTATGCTAGTAGGGGACTGTATTTGGTGACCCTAGAGGCCCTTGTCAGCCCTGCAGGTAAGTGAAACCATGCAAGTACAAACAGGTCATGTTGGGCAACCGGCAGATCCTCACGCTCCAGCCCATGGTTGGTTGAGCGTGCTCAAGATCACCACATCTGGATGGAGGGAAAAAGGACAGTCCAGCTCACCTGGCTGCAGGTATCTCCACATGGATGGGCACCCTGGGGCTGATCACTCCATATCCCTGGTGCAGACACTAGAGGGAAACTGCCAGCATCCAGAGTGACTCATAGGTCTGTCCTCACATGCTGATTTTAGGTGGGGATGAACTGCCCTTTGGAGCTGCCTGGTTTTCTCTGCTGGTCATTAAGTGGAGGGTGACAGGCGAGGCTCACAGATTTCAGTTTTGCGTGCTGTCACAGCAGTGGTACTCTGCCCTATAGGGCTCAGAGAACGTTTTTTTCTGTTGCTGCTACACTCCTTGAACATTGGCAGATCACCTTTCTTTAATGTATAAAAGTGCCCGGAGGAACCCTAATACTAAGGGATTCTCACATTTTCAGCAGCCAACAGATAAATGCATCTGTACATTTTTAAGGGAGAAATTAATGTCTCAGTGCCACCTTGTGGAATGACCTGTGTACAAGGACAAGCAGCAGCAAGAGGCACATCCATGATGCCATCCTAGGAGCATGCTGGAGTTTTAGGGAATTTGGTGGCAATACTGGAGAATATGCTGCTAACGTTATCACCAAATCAAATATTTCTATTGCAAACTGCGGTTGCCTTTTTTTGCTGAGAAGACTGCAAGTCCATGGGAGCCTGGTGTTCCCAAAAAATACCTGTCCATTTTTCAGCCCAAATTAGAATATGGAGATGCCTATTGTTAATACTTGAATACAGGAGAAAAAGGCTTCCAGGGACACAATGGCTTTCTTGTTTACCCACAAGAGAGGAGTCCACTTGGAAGGCTCCCTGAGATCTAGGAGTAAAAAACCAAGTTGTAGGTCCAGTTGTGGGAGATACTGACCCAGTCACACCTTGTCCATCTAAGAAAGCTTGTGAGATCTCCAACACATGCTAATGCCAGGACCTCGGCTTTACATGTCAGCTGGAAATTGCCCTGTGCAGAAGAAATTTGAGGCTCCTGGCACCACCCTGACCCGGTACTCCAAAGCCCGTGTTTGAGTGCTCCACCGATAAACATTTATTTGCATGGCAGAGAATGAAATGACTTGGAAAAATTTATTGGCCACCTTTTCTGTGCCACAGCATGGGTCACAGACGCATAGGACAAAATAACCTTCCCACCTAGAAACATGCAGGAGGAACACCCTTGCCAGCAGCGTGGTTATCATCCTTCATGATTAGAAGGTCCTTACTATTAACAACAGAATAGTAAATTACTGCATATTTAGCCAGGCGTTCACTGAGGTCAATAGCTAATCTGTCACTGGAGGAGGGTTTACCCTAGTCCATAAAACCCTTCCCTGCCACAAGATAGACAATTGTCTATGGAGCAAAGAGAAGAATCAGCTTCCCAGCTTCTTCCATAGAGCTGCTCAATGCCCTGTGGATGAAAGAAAAGCTGGTGAACTTTTGCAGTGCAGTAGTGCCAGAGGGAGGTGACACCAGGGCCAGAGTGAGCAGAGCACTACTTCCCCATCGGGTCAGCTGCTGGCCACCCCTCCAGAGCTGTGTGCCGAGTCCCCTCCAGAGCCACCCTGAGAAGCTGCAGCAGGTTGAGAGAAAGGTGAAGAAAACCAGCAAAGAACCAGACAAGGCCCGCAGAAAAAGGTCTTGAGCGGTTGGCGGGTTTATGTTTTTCAGTGATCGAGCAAAGGAATTAAAACCTTTTCATGGTGGGGAGGTAAGAGCAGCTGGTGAGCAGGGAGACCAGCAGAGGGAATCAGGAGGTGGAGGAGGAATCAGGACAGTGAGGGCTCTGCTCTGGCAGCCAGGTGAGATTGAAGGTCTCTGCAGACCATTGCTGAGCCTGGTCTCCTTGCCCCACACGAGAGGACAGACCGGGGGGCTGATGGGGAAGGTCCCCACTAGTGATGGGAGCTGTGGGCAGAGGTGTGTTCAGAAAGAACAAATATTCAACCTGAAGAAACGCCCCAGGCACTGTGCCCTTCCCAGCTGCAGACAGCGGTGTGCACCCGCTCCAGGCAGAGCATCCTGGGGCAATGGCTTTAAGCTGGAGAAGAGCAGATTTAGATTGGATATTAGGAATAAGTTCTTTATTATGCGGGTGGTGGAGCACTGGAACAGGTTGCCCAGGGAGGTGGTTGAGGCCCCTTCCCTGGAGATATTCAAGGTGAGGCTTGACGAGGCCCTGGTCAAGTTGGGGGTGTCCCTGCTGACTGCAGGGAGGTTGGACAAGATGGCCTTTGGAGGTCCCTTCTGGCCCGGACCATTCTATGATTCTATGATCCTCTCCACAGGCTGGGCACCCAAATGGACCTTCGAAGTTCAGGCAAACGGTCCTCATCCCACCTGTTGGAAAATAAACGTCACCAAAACCACCAGCCAGTGGGTTTAGAACGCAGAGCACAGCCAAAATTCCTGTTCAGGGCTTTGTGGGAAAGGATATGGAGAAAGACAGAGGCATTAGGAGCACACCAAGGCTATCTATAGCTCCACCGGTCTGGAGATAGGCCTCTCCTGGGCAGAGGCGCATAGCTTGCAGTGCCCCAGTAACTGAAATATTGCAGGTTACCATATAGTTTTAAAGGGATGGCCTGTGTGCACGTGTTGGGGGGGGGGAAGACTTTGAAGCGAGCTGCTGCTTTATTGGCTTGTTCATCGTTAACCAAATGAGTGAAGGTGTCTGGGGGTGAAGGGAGGGTGCCAGGTTTCAAAGGGTAACTTAGCCGGGCGCAATGAAGTGTGCTGTCACAACAGGAGCTCCTGTGGCTGCGGGCTGGAGACGGGGAGCAAAATGCTGGAGAAGATTCAGAAGGCGCTCACGATTCGTAGCAGCACCATGAGGGAGCTGCTGGCAGAAGCGCTGGGGATGTTCATCCTCATGGTAAGGAGGAGGTGGGACCAGATGTGTGTGTCTGCGTGTGTGTGTACTGGATGGGTGAGGGGGTAAGCGTTCACAGCAGCAGTTTGTGAGGTCCTTGTTTGTGGTTTCCTACCACGTGCCTGGGGTTGCTCAGCGGCTGGTGGCTACTTCTCACCCCTCTGCTCTGGTGGGGCGGCAGCTTCCCATCGGGTAGGCCATCTGTCAAAAACCTTCTGTAGGAAAAAAGCAAGGTGGAGGGTGGCAGGTGGGTGATGGGAGAGGGTGAAGCAGGTGGAGGTCAGCCACTGTTTCAGTTCTCTGAAAAACTGTTTCAGTTCTATGAAAAAAAAAAAAAGAAAAAAAAGAGGAAGAGTCTGGGAATGAACTTGTGTCTGGTCATGCTTCTACCAGACCCCCTGAAATATCCCATGTAGTGAATTGAGGCTTTTCTTCCTGCCATATCTAAGGCAATGGGGTGGCTGGAAGGTCCTCCACAGGTCTGGGGAGCAGACCCTGTCTCCTCTGCCACTGGCAGCCTTTGTGAAATGAGGGCAGCAAATAATCCCGTTTCCCTCCTGGGGTTGCCAGGGTAATGGACGCCTGTGAAACTCTCCGGAGCCACAACCCACCATTAGGAAACGTAATTACCGGGTGTGAAGCACGCCAGGATTTTGCTTCTGATTTTCTTATGCTGGCAAAAAAATAGTGCTTATCCAAGCCACACAGAAACTCCCCTCTTACCAGAGGGATCTGTTTCATGCAGAAAAAGTGGTTTTGAGCTCTTGGGCTCCTTCAGAGGTGTTTGTGAAGAGGCTGAGGAAGGCTTTGCAGTGAGAGAGACACTTTGGACTGGACAGAGGCTGGCATGGAAGGGCTGGGGATAATCCACGTAACTCGTACTTGGAGATTTGCACAGGAGGAAGATAAGATTTGTGTAAGCATGGGGACCTTTTGACACAGCTGTCTGTACAGATAAAGGGGCCTATTCTCAAAGGCAACAATGCACGTGCAAAGGATGCCTGCTTTTTATCACATCTTTACACACATCCAGCTCCTTGGAGTTCACTCCTCACAACACAGGTAGCTTTGCACGCATTGGAAGTCAGCATACAGACATCTGTGACTCCTCAGCAGGAGCCGAACAAAACCATTTTCCTTTTCCAACCCCTTTATTTCTTGGTGAGGGAAATTTCCAGGTGACGAAGATCAAGTTCAGGGGTGTCCTGTCAGGGCTGTCTCTGGGAAGCGGCATAAGGAGGAGATTTTTCTCTGCAATTTGACAGTCCAAGGCAGGTTTTGGAGCCTGCACCTCATGATGGATCCCCATGAGGGAATGGAGTAGGAGGTGGGACACTGCATCAAGGGCTGACCACAAACAGCATCCACCATCCGAATGTACCACCCAGCATCCAACTCTTCAGCAGCCCCCCAGGCACTACTGCAGCTGGGAATGTGCATCCCTGGATGCATCTCCGGGATGCCTGGTTGGCTGTTGGTTGGATGACAGCACTCAGTTGATGTCTGTTGAATGTACACAGTTGGATTACTTCTTGCTTCAACAGACAGGCTATGTTCATGCAGGAGGGAACCAGGCAGTAGGAGTAAACAGCACAAGGAGCAGGGAGGTAGGAAAAGAAAAGAAAAAATAAGGCTATTTTGGGACTGTGACAATAGAGGAAGAGACCAGAGATTTGGATCCGTGCTGAAAAAGAGATTCTCTGGCCTGTCCTATGGGGTTTTATTTTAGGATAGAGCTGTTCAGCTGCAACAGCCATGTCTCCTCCCTGCACCTGCTTGCTGTCCTGCAAACCCCACGCGTTGTGCATTTGGCCTCTGTAGGATGTGGCTTTGGAAAAGCTCGCAGATGAGCAGGCAAAGGTTTTATAAGGGCACTGCAGATGCTGGGGGACATCCCAGACACTGCTTTTTGGGGCTTTTGCTGAGGCAGACTGAGGGAAGGGCTCACACTGTGCAGGCTGTAGCTCCACGCAGAGCAGGGAGCCTGGTCTGTGTATTCAAGAGAGGTAAGAACAGTGGCTCTGGGGAAGAGGGGGTTTTTGTGCTATCTGAAAGGGAAGAGGGAGAGCAGATGCGTGAGATAAACTCTGGATCCAGGCAAAGCAGCCAGTAAAGATCCAAGTCAAAATAGCAGACCAAGACCAGAGCAGAAGCTTGGATGACTTTTTTGTCTTGGAGGGACGTGTCACCCTGGGTAAACACCGCTGCAGTCCAAGGAACAGGATATACTCCCCAAGCCCTAAGTGGTTTGTGAAGCAGGCAGAGACCTTGAGAGCAGCTTTGTCCTGCAGATTTCAGTCTAAGAGTTGTGCAATGAACTCATTTTTCTACCCTCTGACCACATTAAAAAAGTGAAATACAATTTACTTTTAGGCCAGAGCAATTTCTTCAATGTCTTTTCCTGCTGGAGAGTGTTTATGTTTTTTAAAACTTTTTTCCCAGTTCCCCTTTAGTCACTAAAAAAATATTGATACTTTTGCTGTTTTTGAAATGAAAGTGTATGCGTTGAAAGGAAAAGTAAAACCGGAATTTCCTCCCTTGGTTTTTTTTTTCCGGAATAGGTTACCAAAATTAGGCTTGAATTTGGCAGATAGCTTTGTGCTGCCCAAACTACATTTTTAGTCAATAAATTGCACACCAAGAGAAGAAAGACAACAAGAAGTGGCCCACCCTTCTTCCACCCGGCTTGGGCACTGCCTCTGGGTGGTCTGAGGTGATGCTCCCCTGGCTCACGTCCCTGGCTTCAGGTGCAGACGCCCTTACCGTGGCCATGTGAGTGACCCCAGCCAAGCCCAGGATCTCAGTGTGGGTGTCGGGGGTTTGTGTCCCTATAGCAGAGTGTCCTATTTGGTGTAATGGTCACCAACAAGGAATAATCCAGTTACCTGTTCAATTTTTGCAGAGGAAGGTCATTCTCATTTCATCTCCTGACCATGGGCATCTTAAGAGTCTTCCTGTCTTTGGGAATTTGTTAGTATTGTAGAAAAAGTAACAAAGAAGTTCAGTCCACCGCAGCGATAACATTACTTTTAACAACCCTTTCTCTCTTTTTTTCTATGCATAGTTCTTTGGCTTGTCTTCTGTGGCACAAGTGGTATTAGGAAGAGGAGAGTTTGGGCAGCATCTGAGCATCAACTTGGCATTTGGCATTGGTGTTACCTTGGGCATGCACGCAGCTGGAGGAATCTCTGGTGAGCAGGACACTCGAGCACGGGACATCTCTATGTCCCATAAAGGCCACATGAGTCTGGGGCGGCAGGAGTGGGCTGTGGGTGGGTGATGGCATGGCAAGGTGGGGCAAGTGACCTCACCAGCAAAAAATGCAGTCCTAGGGTCCCCAAGCAAGAAGAGCAGGGCAGGTCTGGCGACCGTAACCAGGGTCAGCCTTGTGACCCAGGGATCACAGCCAAGTCTGCAGGGGGGGAAGCACGTCTGAGATCACGCCAAGGAGTCGCGATGGCGCCACACGGTCAGGAGAAGCTGGGGACAAGGAGGGTACAGCATACCTCCAGTATGCTGACCCCAAAAGCGTGTCCTGAGCTGAGATGGGGGCAAGTTCAGACAGGGACACCAGCAGAGTGTGGCCATCCCCTCCTGCTGCAGTCAGTGGAGCCAGGTTTCAGCAGCGTCCCCATTAGGTGCTTGGGATACACCACCATGGCCCAAGGAGATAAGGAGCTCTGGAAACGTGCTGCCAATCTGACCCATGGGGAAGTAAATCATTTATTGCAAAGGAGAGCTTACTGCTGATGTTGCAACAAGGAATGGTATGAAAATTTTCTCCTTATCATGCACACCCATGCGCACACGCCCCATGCGAACGCAGGAGGTGTGTTTCAGGGCCATGGAGTTGTATTCTCACATGACAGGGCATTACCTTTGCCTTGTGCAATTTCTGCATTCATTTGCACCATGAGAAGACATTAAGGGCTCTAGTGGGCAGAAAATTAAAGCAAGTCGTTGCTCTTGAACTGTCGGAGCAGAGAGATGTCCAAGTCTGGGGCTGGGTTGGAAAGGAAAAATTTTCCAACTGTCATCTTTTGATGTCCCTGTACTTTTGGAGCTGGTGGAGACATCCTGGGGAAAGTGAGCTATGGAAAGTAGGTCCCTGCAGTCCCAGGTGACATTTGAGTTGGAGCTGATCTGCTGAGGGCTGGGAGGTGAAAGGAAGGGTCTTAGATCAGTCAGGAACAGGCTGGCTCTGGAGTCAGCTTCAGGGCTTCTTAGCTCTGAGATTTGGCTCCATTTGTGTCACATGATGTTTCTTGTGATCTCTGAAATGGCCGGTCATGCCTGCAAAGGATCAAAGGATGGAAGAAAAAGGGGTATCCCCCCATTTCTGTTGTGGTTGTGGGACTGTAGCAGGCAGTACATACACTTTCACTTCACTCTTCCTGTACTTTGATGAGATGACGTGTGTCTGGCCTTTCCTCCTTTCTGAGTCTGGAGTAGAAAGAGGCCGCTCCGGTTGGAGTATTTACTAACCCCCAAAGTTTACACCTACTAGGCAGGAAAGAGCAAATATTTCCTTTGGACTCAGAGGGAGATGAGGCACGGAGAACAAATGTGGTTTGCACCTAGGGCACCAAACCTGGATCCACTTAGTTGTTCTCCAAAAGCACTATTGTGATAACAACTTTCTCCGTAGAAAGCAGACAACAGGAGCCACGTACTAAAAGATGTAAGGAAATGCAGACCAAGATCACAAACTCTGTGAGGGAAGGACAGGGTCTGCTCCACACTAGTGCAGATTGACCATCTAGTAACCCCTTCTCAATGCGGTGACATCTAAGGGCTAATCTGACTCCCTGCCAACAGCCCTGCATAGGATTTGCTGTACAGATGTGAAGACAAGGGGCATCAGTGGTTGATTTTGCAGTTCACCTCCCCAGCATCTCATGCCTTGCCTGCCAGATGTGCTAAGGGCCCGCAGCTCCCATCAGCTGCAGTGCTCAGCTCTGCCAGGATCAGGCCCTCCTTGTCTATCAGATGTTTTCAGAAGGACTTGCAATTATTTGGGATAAGATTTGTCTCATCTACCAGTAGCCATATAAAAGCTGGGGTGTGAATCTAAATTCTGGGCTCCCTTTAAGCTGAATGGAGAAGCTCATACAGAGAGAAAGCCTCAGAATCACAGAATGCTACGGGGTTGGAAGGGACCTGTGGAGATCATGTAGTCCAACCCCCCTGCCACAGCAGACCCACCCAGAGCAGGTTGCACAGGAACGTCTCCAGCAGGGTTTTGAATATCTCCAGAGAAGAAGACTCCACCACCTCCCTGGGCAGCCTGTTCCAGTGCTCTGCCACCCTCAAAGGAAAGACGTTCCTCCTCATGTTTAGGTGGAACTTCCTATGTTACAGTTTGTGCCCATTTCCTCTTGTCCTGTCACTGGGCACCACTGAGAAAAGACTGACCCCACCCCTCCCTTTAAGTATTTATAGGTGTTGATCAGATCCCCCCTCAGCCTTCTCTTCTCCAGACTAAAAAGGCTCAAGTACCTCAGCCTTTTCTCATAAGAGAGATGTCCGAGGCCTCTAATCATCTTTGTAGCCCTTTGCTGTACCCTCTCCAGCAGTTCCCTGTCCTTCTTGAACTGGGGAGCCCAGAACTGGACACAGTGTTCCAGATGGGACCTCACCAGAGCAGAGTAGAGAGGCCGGATAACCTCCCTTGGCCTACTGGTCACATTCCTCTTGATGCCCACAGGATGCTATTTGCCTCTTGACCACACAGATACATTGCTGGCTCACGGTCATCCTGTTGTCCACCAGGACTCCCAGGTCTTTTTCCTCAGAAAAATTCACACTATGCCATGCCGTGCCAAGAGATGTGTCTCTAACAGGCGAGGTGACTAAGGCAGCCTGTGGTCTACAACATGAAGCAGAAGTTGTCTGATTTTTAGATGACTAGAGCTAGGAGTTATCTGCTTTGAATCATTCAGGGTCAGTTTTGAGTCAGTGCAGGAGGGAGACTCTGTTCTGGGTGAGTCCTGGTGTTGTGGAGTAAGGTCTGGGTGGTTACTGTGGGGCATGGGGCATGTTCCAAAACAGAGGTATCAGCACTGAAGCCACTCACTTCTGCTCTGATTTTGCAGGAGCTCATCTGAACGCTGCCATCACCATCACATACTGCATTTTAGGAAACCTCCCCTGGAGAAAGCTCCCAGCTTATCTGATCGGGCAGTTCCTGGGCTCCTTTACAGCAGCGGCGACCGTCTTCGGCCTCTATTATGGTATGGTTGTGGGTTGCTGTGGGCACCGTTTTAGTCTTATCTCGCTGCTCGTCAAAAATATTTCCTTTTACAGTACCCTGCAAGATGTCTGGGTGAGGAAGGCGAGCTCCTGCCTTTTGGGACTGACCTTCATAGCTCAAAGCCAGAGCAGGGCCCAGATATCTCTGGGAAGGATGTGCAGTTCCTGGAGAGCACAGCTCCCTTTGCTCAGGGCATTCCCACTGCCAAAACCTGTTCTCAGGTTCTCAACTCGAGGCCAGTAGTTGTTTTTGGTCAGCAGTTTGTTTCCAGGGCCTGCAAGGCCTTAAGTTACATGGATTACCGTGCACTAGGTACAGCTGGAGCTCTGGGGGACTCTGCTGGTCTGTGGAAAACAGGACACGGACATACGTGGCTTTGTGTTGTGAGCAGAGGACCCACCACCTCTTGGCTCTAGCATGTCTCAGACTGTGAGGGGCAGAGTCCTCCAGAGCATCCAGCCTGCCCCAGGCTCCCAGAGCAGGGACAGGGAGCTGGTAGGCTTAAGGAAGCAACTGCAGACCAAAGTCTGCAGGTAACAGATATCAGTGAGATCATGCCCTGCGAGGGGTGTGTCACCTCCATCGTATCTCCCATTGCCTCTCTTCCCCGGGATGTGTGTGACGTGTCCGTGCTGGTGGTGACAGGTGGCCTTGTGTACGTGCCATGTGGGATGAACTCTGCTAACTCCTGTAATTACCATCTCCCTCAGATGCTCTGTATGACTACACCAAGGGGAACTTCACAGTGACGGGACCAACTGCCACGGCGTCCATCTTCTGTACTTACCCTGCTCCCTACGTATCGTTGCCTGGGGCCTTCTTCACAGAGGTCAGTGGGGACCCCTGTGGTGTGGTAGGAGAAGGTGGGGGGTAACAGGAGCTACTGCAGGTCTACAACAGGGGACTCATGGTGCCACGTGGGCAGACACAATCACAACCTCTGCTCCAAGGAGCCCACCACCCTGGCAGGTACCTGACAGGTAGGATCCACCAAAGATCCACCTTGGTGGCCGACCCTGAAGGGTAATGCCTGCAGGTTGCTCCACAGCTTGGTCCGAGTGTCCTTCAAACAACTTCCCTGCACACTGCCCAAGCAACGGGAAGTGAGAACCTGAGCTGTATCAGGAACCACCTCCTTTGGGCTCTGGGCAGTTCCCTGAACTGTCCTTCCCCTTTTTTGGATCCTACACCCGCTCCATGGTCCCGAGCAGCTCTGCTGGCTGCCCCCTCCAGCACAGAGGGCCTGGGACTGTCTTCACATGAACACCGCCTGTCTGGATGGCACCTCTGGGGTCTGAGCAGTCCCATTTAGACTGGGTACAATTGATTCCCAGACGCCCAGAAATAGGAAGGGGATGCTGCAGGGGACATGGAGCACTGGGACACCGGAGAAGGAAGATTCTCTTCCAACTCAAATGTGCAGAAGCCTGTGCTTTTGTCTCTGAGCTGACAAAACTCTTGCCTGGGCATGATGAGGAGGTGGGTGAGAGCTGGAGAGCCTACAGGCGTGGGGGGCCCTGATCACTCAGCCTCCTGTGGAGCACGCAGTGCCCTTGCTGCACACGAAACCAAATGACAGTGACAGCGTGTTGCCAAAAACTGCAGAGTCTCTGCTTTTGATGGCATCTCTGCCAGCAGTGCAAGGCTCTCCAGCTGCATTTTCTGAAGCAGAAAGAGAGAGCAGTCAGGACTTGTATTCAAACCACAGTTCCTGATGTCTTGGGCACTGCAGATCTACAAATGCCAGCTACGTACCGTCATGGGTGGGAGATCTGGGTTTCCCAGATGAGAACCTGGTTATCTGCTTTTAGCCCTGAAAGGGTTAATGCAACAGGCTGTGTAAAACATTGCTCCCTCTAGGGAGGATCGTAGAGTTAGCAATTTGTTATGGTTCTGCCCCTGTTAGACAAAATGTACTTAAAATAACCCATGTCCCTAACTTGAAAGGTGGAGGGAGAGGACAGTACTGAGAAGTTCATATCAGTCCTAGAGATGGAGATGTTCTTACTGGGAAACGAGTCAAGACTGTTAGGAGGGGAATAACATTGGGGTCCCTCCTCACTCCATCAGACCATGAATCCCACCTGTTCTTCCATTCTGGGAAGTCTCTTCCTTTCTGCTGAGCAGGATCCTTTGGCCTTCCTCGTTCTCTCTCCTGACCTATTCCACCTTTCCTCCTCCTGCAGTTTATAGCGACGGCGATGCTGCTCCTGGGCATTCTGGTCATCCACGACGAGAGGAACAATGGAGCCCTGAAGGGCACACAGGCCCTGCTCACCGGGATCCTGGTCCTGGGCATCGGCTTAGGGATGGGGATGAACTCGGGCTACGCCATAAACCCCTCCCGGGACCTGCCCCCCAGGATCTTCACGGCAATTGCTGGCTGGGGAATGGAGGTCTTCACGTGAGTGACCCATTCTGCTTTTACACTGCTCAGCTCACAAGGAGAGGCGATAAGCCCAAGATAAAATGGTCAGGAAGGCTTTTTCTTTGGACCAAGTTGATGGTATTGCTGCAGAGTACCTTCCTCCTGAGAGCAAGCCCCAGGCATCATGGGGTACACTAATTCTCCAGCACGGAATTCATCTTGACATCCAGATACCTCAGTTTGGGCACCAAACTGGCTGCTTGTTAGCTGGAGATCTAGGTGGTTATTGCAGCCAGAGAGCGATTCAGCTCACCTGAAAGCAGGTACTTACAGCTGGGTGGCTGAAGAGCTCTCCTAGATTGAGATGTCTGAACCTGGAGATCAAACCCTGCCTTCCCCTCTCTAGTGACACGGAGCCACGGTACGGCTTTTCCCTTGGTGAGGGCATCAGCAGTCTCCTGTCCTGCCTGCCCATTTTTGTTAGATTTCCAGACTATACCTGTGAGTGCTTGGTAGAGGAGCTTGCAGATGTTACTGGAAATGGGGAGGGAAAAGGGGCGCGTGTCTCGTCTGCCCAACAGCCATGCTCCTCAGGACCACACAGACTATTTCAGCAGGAGAACCAGAGACCTGCAGACAGCGCAGAGCCACTCTCCCAGGCTGGTGGGGGAATGTGACCCTCCCTCCAGCAATTACGCTGGAGATGGAGAGAGAATTCACCTAAAGCAGCTGTAGGGCCCCGTGTGTGAAACGGCACTGGACACCTCTGCTCCCAAAGCCTGCTCCTGCCCCAGCAGACATGGCAGGGGTTCAGGAGGAACAGAGGAACAGCAGGAGGGCAGGGGTTCCAGTCTGGCTCAACAACACCCCTTCTGTGTTTCGTTTCAGGGCTGGACCTCACTGGTGGTGGGTCCCACTCACAGCTCCGATTCTGGGAAGCCTCGCTGGTGTTTTTATCCACAAACTCTTCATCGATTTTCACAACCAGCCTGTCCCGGAAAGTGGAGAAGAGAAAGGACATCCCGTGGTGGAGACTTCTACGCTGTGATGGCCACATGCTCCAAGGAAAGGGCATGACAACAAGGCCTGGACTGACACCCAAAGGGCAACCAAGTGGATAAGGGGATAGGCAATGGTGCTGCCAGAGCACATCGTTTCTCCACCCTGCAGGTGGAGCATGAGGGACTCGTCTTCAATAAACCTATTCTGTGTAAGCAGAAAAATTGATCTCTGAGACATTGGGAAGACCCAGGTAGGGCTAGACCTGTCTGTGACCTGAAGAAATCATTCAATCTCCCTGTATAAAAATCTACCAAAAAAAAAAAAAATCATCACAAAGCAAAGCAGAGCTGCAAGACTCCAGATACCTGAATGTTCATGGAAATCAAAATACAGCTTCCAACAGTGGCAGAAACAACTTTAATTAAAGAAATTTTGATCTGGAATATTCTTTGCTAGGAGGCAGACGTTACGCTAATGGCTCAGGGATGTAGGCTTGCTTCCATTTGCTAATCTGCCATCCTAACAAAGACCCAGTTTGGTAGAGCACAAAGAAGAGAAGAGCAAGGACAGTCTGAAATAGAAACCTGAACCTGATTTCTTTTTCTTTCATGCCTGGTTTTCTTTTTTGCTTTTTGATCTGAGGCACCCAGAAATTAGTAAACTAAACTACAGAGTCTCCTGAATCCTGGCACAGCTCTGCTGGAACAGACTGGCGTCATGGAACCATGTGTATTACTCACAGGCTAGACTTTAACTACCACCACATGACAGGATTCAGACAATTTCTGCGGCAGCATCCCCAGATGCTCAAAGAAACAAAAACCCAAACCCTTTCTCCACTCTGAATGCACGAGAAACGTGGGAAGAGGCTGCCCTGCTCTGGCAGGAATTCTGCCACCTCCATCTGAAAGAGGAAGTGGGCCTGCAGCAGCCTTACAAGTCTGAGGTATCATGGGATTAAAACAGTATCAGAAGCTGCCTGTTCCCAAGGGGGGTGACAACAGTCTTAACTTTTCTAGAAAATGCTTAAGCAAGTATGGTACGTGTGTCAAGCACGGGACTGCAGTCCCAGGGCTGGGTACCACGAACACACAGCGCACAGATCTCCAAGAGTAGGAAGCAACAGAACACCACTACAGCACAGAATTCCAGAAAATGGCATTTACTGGCTTTAATGATCATTCACATCTCACTATTGAAAGGATTACCGAGGTATTCCTGTGGCACGGGGTGGGGTGGGTTCCTCATTAGAGCTGACCTTATATTAGCCAAGCAGCTACAGCAGATCTTCACCCAGCACAAGACACACATCGGCCTAAGAGGGCTGAAGAGCATTAGGGGATTGTCTCTCATTTGGGGGTGGCAGAGGGCAGCTGCCAGGTCAGGCAGTGGTGGAAGCCAGCAAAGCAGGTCTTTGCCAGGGCTGATGGCTGCAGAGACTTTGAGCAGTGAGCGCAGGAGAGAAGTGGAACAGCTGTCACACAGCTGAGTCTTGATGTGAACTAAACTGGGAACTTCAGAGCAGCTCGAGGTGGGATGAGCAAAAACACGCTGTGACCCATCCCTTCTTGGTGAGAGATTCTCCACTGCATTAAAAAAAAAAAAAACACCCACACAATTCAGCCTGCTCCCTGCTCTTACCATACATCCTTGTGCACGTCATCCCAAAAAGCATCTTCAAATACCCAATCACTCTGGAGGAAAATATTAAAATCTTTATTAAAATAGTATTAAGCACTTACAGGGTGGCTTCTTCTTTCTGAAGGCCATACATGTACTCATGAGAGCCTCACAACATCCCTGTGAGGTAGGTTTCTCTGATGTAATTACGTGACTGTTTCATAAATAAAAGATGATACTGTATAAATAATCAATGCTTATTTGAAGACGGTGACTTTGATTTCCCTGCTTAGGCAAAAAATGTGTTGGTTGTGACCATTTTTCCAGCACATCTAAGAAGACAGAATGGCACAGAAAAGTAATGGAAACAATCAGATGTAACTGAAAACCAGCATTGAATGGGTTAAAGTGCAGTTCTAACCGGAAAACTTACAGTACAGAGAACATCATAGGGGCTTCTAAGGCTGTAGGATCTCAGAGGCCCCTGGTCAGATCCTGCCCAATTGAAAAGTGAGAAAGACTATTTGAATGGTCAACTTTGAAAACGAATGAGTGAAAAACCAAGGGTTCCTCCTGGGACTCTTGACGCCACCGACCCGCCTGGCTCAGTTCCTACAAGAGGAGAAAGCAGAGGCAATGAGGGATCTTGCAGCTTCAGGCTGCCTTTGGGTTTGTCAGGAAGAACAGCACACAGAAAAGATACAGCACAATGGGGCTGTAGAGCAAGTGTCTAGGCCACTGCAGAGACAGGGAAGCCCCAAGTCCCTTTGTACCATGAATCTCAGAAGCTGGAAGAAGCACAGGGAAGTGCAGAGTTTGATCTGTCTGAAGCAGAAGACATTTCTTTGTTCAGGGGGTTCCAGCCTGCTCCCATAGCATGCAAGGTCAGGACAGGTTTCTTTCAAAGGATATGACAGAAATATCTTCATATGCTGTCTTTCAGCGTGGGTCTATTAAAGTAACAGTGACTTACATTTGCTTTCATTTGACTGCTGTAGTTGCAGAGGAAGAAAAGCTTCCCTATAGAGTGACATCAAGGGCTTCTTCATGCCCTCTGAGAAGTACATGCCGCAAGTAGAAGAAGGGAATAAAATCAGTCTCAACTTCTTTTTCTCAGTCTCCAGAAACTACATCCTCTCTTTGTCATCGTGGCTGTATCTCATACAAATGCTGCAACATGTTCTCCATGGGCACATCTATTCATGCACAAGGAACTTGGTCTGAACCACTGAGACTCTGCACCAGAGAACATCGAAGCTTAATTGCAAATGATGTCCAGGATCAGATCTGGGAGGGGGTCTCACTTCCTTGAAGAATTCCCAGCTAGTGAGGATGTCTTGGAGGAGGTCATGCTCGTGTGACTCTTTTGGGAGCCTGCTGGCTGGGGGGATGGTTTCTTTTTCATCACTGGAGTTTTGTTCTTGCTTTTAAACACCTTATTGGGGTCCAGCTTGTTCACGAAGGAGTCAGCTTCTTCAGAGAGGAGAGCTGTGTTGATGGTTATGGGTTTATACATGTTAAACCATTGCTGAAAGGCAGGATGGTGGGGAAGGAAGAGGTTAAAATCGAACTACAATTAGACATTTGCACCCTCACATTAGACATTTTGCATCCTCCTCACATCTGAGACTTGATTTTAATCATACACCACTTATCAGTCTGCAGTTTACAGGACTCCACAGAGCGCCTTGTGATAAGGAGACACAAGGCACAGCTACAGCCCCAGCCCTGGAACTGCCTCACATTCCAGTCAGGGAAGAGGAGAACCAGACACAAACCTAACACTACCTTTCCTGCAGTGTAATTCCTATCAGGAGCAACCCTCATTTAAACCACAGGAGGAAAAGCAAAGGGAGGGGATGAAACTAAACCACATTTATTTAGATTCAGAGAAGCAGAAAAGATTAAAAAAATCTTGGAATTTAAAAGTGCTTATAAACTGGAATCAAACTAGTTGACCCTCCCAAAATATAGGTTCCCTTCCTCTCTTCATACATATAATAATGCAGTTTTTTTAGCTCCTTACGCAAAAGATTTTGCATTTGTTTCTCTTTGGCCTGATTTTACATATACAAGTGACCACAATGATTGTTTATTTGTTCCCAGATACCACCACAATGTTATGCCCTGCAGCTCTCATCTCTTGGTGTTTTTCCTATCAGTTCTCCATTGATGAAGACTGGAAATAAAACTGTAGGGGTTACGGTATTACAAATCCCACTGAAACCATCAGCAAAGTGCTGAACAAGATAAACAAAAGATCAATACCAAAATGTAGATGGCAATCTATTCATGTACTGCTTGATGGAACACAGCTTTAATATACCACATACCACCCTTGAAGACCTTTAAAAATGACAATGGTTAACACATCAGAAGGATTTTAACAGAGGCTGCAAATGATTAGGGAATACATGAATGATTTCACTAAGGTTTGTGAACACACTGAACATAATAAAATATTCTAGCAGGAAAGTTCCAGAAAGGCAGAGCACAGGCGTATGCTAGAGCACCACGTACACAGCCTTGACTGATACAGTAGAGCACAGTATAACAGGGAAGACACCAGAAACACAAAGAGGGTCAGAGCTGGGGGTCTCACTTTCTTGAAGAATTCCCAGCTAGTGAAGATTCTACAGCCATTGATAGATGGGAAGTCAGCAGGGATTTTAGTGAGTAGTTCTGATGTACACAGAGGGCTGAGGCAGGATCAAGGAATGTCATGCTGATAAGACAGTTATCATGTCTGGGTGAAGTGCAGGACAGTCCCTGAGACCCACCTTGCCAACGTGCACAGACACAGCACAGGCTTATGTGCTGTGTTTGGTCACGCTGTCAGATCCACTCCCTGGCCTCCCACAAGATGGAAGCAGGGTTAGGGCTGAAGCCCAAGTCAAGCACAGAAGAATGGCAGGAGCCTTTAAGAGCAGGGTTCTGGCAGAGCACAATAGCAATTTTAATAATGATAAGAGGCTAGAATTGTGACAGGGCTGTACCTGGAGCTCTCCTGTAACTACTTCTAGGACTGCTGGCATTTAAATTGCCCCTTTTTGGAGCATCATTTTTATCAAGGCATCCCTTCATAACTGAGGAGAATGCAAAGGCATTCATATTCTTGGCGAGGCTCAAGGTCATAGTCTTCTCTGGGCTTCTTCCTAATGTGTACCTGGATTTTCCTGTCCACCCAGAGAGCAGTAGGTTCTTGTTTGGTGCTATGCCCAGAGAAGTGATCTAGACAAATCTTATATAGCTTGTGGGGATGAACAGCTTTGCATCTCCTTACTTGCCAGCAATCATGGAAGCAGAAGTTGGCTTCAGAGTCAAGAAAACGAAGAAATAATTGAAGTTCCACCACCTGCTACTAAAGTTCAAAGATAGAGCCCAAACTGGGTGAGAAAAGCCCAGTTAACACAATGTTAGTGAATTCACTAACATAAACACGCTATAGGGCAAAGGCGCAAGACTGCTTGTCAAAGGGGAAAAAGACATTTTTTCAGTCTATACTTAAGTGAGATACTGACAAGCTGGATCCTGCTGTCCTACCTTGGCCTGGGGGCTGACCCCATAGCTGGTGAAGGCGTACTGCCACTGTGGGAGACCCAGGTGGGTAATGAGCAGGCGATAGTAGGCTGTGAAGGTTTTGGTGAGGAAATGCCAATACAGAGCTCTGTCAAGGAACCATATCTCTGTGTCCGGGGAGACAACTAGAACAAACCAAACATAAATTACACTGTTGCTTTCCAGTGATAAGATATGCCCCTGGCCATTGTCAGGTGGGCGACAAAACATATTTCTCAGAAAGCCTGCAGTTTCTAAAACACAACATCCCTGACTAACATAGATGATTATCCAGAGGCAATGCAGTTTAAAGGTTAGCGGTTGGGGACTGAAAAGGATTTGGTTTTGCTCCCAGCCTTACTAAAAATACTTGTGCAACAGCCATTATATCTATTTTCCCCATCATAAAATGGATGCAGTGCTATTCCTTCCCAACATGGGATGGAAGTTCTACATGGAACATGCTTGGACATCAACAACTTCGTATGTTAAGTTCAAAGTACAATTATGGCAAACATTTATCTACCCCACAAAGCAAAAAGCAACTAACTCAATTGTCTGTCATCTGGATTACTGAATAGAGTCCAGAGTCTGGAAGTCATGGCAGTGTGTACTGCCAACAAAAACACATTTTGCAAGATCTTTCCACAGTGACCAAATATTTCTCTGGTGGTGACATCCTTTGGAGCATAAAAAGAAGTGGTTTTACTTGGAAAACTGAGATGCTGAACATTGTCAATTAAACACAGTGCCCCCTGTGCTGACACCAACACCTGTAAACAAGGCTCCCTCCCCTTGCCCTGGTTATCCACTGCGTGTTGTTGCGACATCACCAAGACTGGAAGGCAAGAGGACGAGTAAGAAGTTTCTGCCTTGGGCGTTGTAGTCACACCCAATGAAAGACACATGATAACAACCAAAGGGTTTTTCTTAAGAATAGGTCTATCACAATTGCACAGCCCCACACAGCAAACATTATACACGTACACCTAGTGACCTGTGCACCGTGTCAGATGATGACTACTGTACAAGTGACTTGGGTACTTCACTAATCCCTGACTGACAGCAGCTTTCTGTGTATCTGTCAGAAGGAGAAGCTCAGCTCACGTTTCGCTCTCCTGCTCAACCCTTCATGCCAAATTTTGACCTAGTTAGCACCTGGAGGCTCTGCGTCCATGCAGAAGGTGGAAGAACCAGTCTAAGTCTGTCTCAATCAGCTATGGAGCTTTTTTACCATCTACCCCTTGCTTCTAAGCAGCATTAGACTCTTTCTCATCAAAATGTAAGGGAATTGTTCGGAGACAGGCAAGTAACCAGAGGTATCTTAGAGCTGAGCCTTCTCTAATGCCTAATTCCTTCTGCGTTACTTCAGCATGATTGTCTGTAGGTCATATGGGAATGCTTCCCTGTTTCAGTACGCAAGTATGCTATGCATGCAGAAATCTTAAGTTATAACCTGGAATCAAACATTAAAAGGAGGGAAAATGTTAGCTGCAGTTAAGCCTCTGTAATGTTTAGCCCCCTACTTCAGCGGAGACAGGACGTCCCTGCAAACCTTCATCTACAAATTGCAAAGAAGATCAGAAATGTAAGCTGATTTTATGCATGTGGCCTCCAGACACAACCCACAACAAGAGATGGCTAACTTTGCTCTTTTCATTCTTACCTGGTTTAGCATGCTTATAAACAAGACAAACTTTCCCATTGCCATTGCAAGGGTCTAATTCAAAGATAAGACTACGAGAATCAAAGTGGGGCTTCTCTGGTTTGTCTCCGTTACCTGAAAATAGAAAAAAATCTTCATGAAACCTGTTTGGAGAACTGACTATGAGTCAGCTGCAGAGAGTATAGCTATTTGATACTTATTAATAAATCAGCTGAGGAAGAACTAAATCAAACTATCATATTTATACTTCTTGGCAAGGATTAAGTTCCCTGTGTTTTAACAAAAATAGTAAGAAAAATTTTAATCTTCATTAGGAAAACAAACTACAGAGTCAAAATCTGATGGCTGAAAAAAGACATCAAGCTGCCCTCCAGTCCTTCCCTGGCATAAAGCAAGATCAGCTTTACAGATGTCACTCCTGAGAGGCATTTGTCTAATCTTTTCTTAAAGTCCTCCAGTGCTGTAGATATCACAAGCTCCAGGCAGTCAACTCAAATCCATGGTTATCACATAGAAGTTTTCCTCATGTGGACCCTGAATCTTCCTTGCTGCAATTGAAGCCCATTACTTCTGTTCTATCCGCTCTTTTTTTCCCCACTGTCTTTTATTCTCAGGAGGACAGGGAGAACAAATTATTCTTTTTCTCTTCACAGAAGGCTATTATGAACTTGGAGACACATACTTTTTTTTCATATATTCCAGTGTGACATCAGTATCCTTCTCAACAGCCACACGTTCTGACTCGTATCCAACTTCTGACCCACAACCTCTACGTAGCATTTCCACAAGACCATTTTGGGATTGTGCAGCTGCAAGTTCTTGCAGAACATAATTTTGAATTCTAATGCTAGGAAGAAGGGGGCCACAAGAGCTGTACTCTTCAGAAGAGCTTTTTAAGAAAGTCAGGATGAGAACAGTGGTGAGGATGTAATTTTTTCTCAGTGTACATTATGACTGGATCAGTGGCAGTCTGAGTGGCTAAACAGAAGCAGAATTTGGCCCATCTCATTACAATGGCTAAGAGATCAGGAGTGCAGCAAGGCTGGAATGTGCAAAAAGAAACTTTCAACCACATTTAGAAGCTACAAGAGCTACAGAGATTCAGAGATAAGACTGAAATCAAATAGGAATTTTTTAAGGAGCCAGCATGACACCTGGCTCTGTTCTTATCTTCTTGCTTCTTCCAATCTTGTTAGACTGGAAGAGCTCTGAGAAAAAGCGTGGACCTTTTTTCATCTTTTTCTCTCCAAACTGCAGGATGCCCAGCATTTTTAGGCAGTCTGGAACTGCATATTTTCCAGTGCCACCTCACTCTTACACGCATTTACCAGAGTTATTTTTCCATATCCAGCTGTCTTTTCAATACCAGGACAAAACCTGTTATCTTTTGTTCGTGTAAACCCATAAGCACACAAAGACTTTAGAAGCTGAATCACTGGAGGAAGCCTCTCTTAAAAATTTAAGTGGAGAAAAGGCAGAACAGGAGGACTGCCAGGCTGTTAAGAGCATGCAAGTAATACTAGAGACTGCAGCATTAACAGTTCCCAAGAGGTTCACAACATACCTCTCAAGGCTGAAGGGAACTAGTTGGACATCCAGGAGACGAAGGAAACCCCATCTACTTGGAGTGACCTTTTCTGTTGCTTTATCCATGTGCTACATCCTAACGTTACCCTCAGCAGAGAAAAAGGGATGAGATCTAGCTTGCTAACAGGACCTTACCTTCCTCGTCTGTGTCATCTTCCAGGTCAGCAAGAGTTGGTGCATTAGGCAGAGTGTACACCGAGGAACCCCCAAGGCGACACAGCTTCGAGACACTATTAATCACCATGGAGCCCAGGGGCATTGGGGTATCTGCAATAAGACTGATCGTTAATCACACCCACTGTCAGGAGAGCATAGGAGGCACTTCTTCCTCCACACATCATTGCGTGGAAGGTATACCCAGTTTTTCTCTCCCTCTGTTCTATAACACAGAGGGGGAGAAAAGATGGGTAGACCCAGCAGGCTTGGACACTTAACCAAGTCAGACTCCACAGGAGCAAAAATTAAGCTTTTTCAAACACAGAATCACACTTACAGGTGACATGACACCATCTCAGAGTCATGCAGCTATGAGAATTACACTGCTGGCTAAGCCTCTGCTGCAGCTGCTAGCCCAGTCCTGTGAAACTGGCTATTAAAAATCCTGGCTAGCTACAGCCACCTCCTCAAAACTCTTTTCCCTGCTGCTCTCTTCCCTACCATAAACAACCCCACCCATGCAGAGTGTATTGGGCAGCTTGTCCCCTTCCACCCCATGTGCCTGCTCAGGGTGCACCCTCTTGGCGTCCACCCCAATACAGGATTTTGCCAGTGTGTCAACATGTGGGTGCTCCTCAATGAACACGTGAGGACTTGTCATTTGTCTCTCCTTCTAAGGACTTGTACTGTTACCAGACACCAAGCAAAGAAGGACCCCGTTCAGCCATACACCAGTGTGAAGGGCCTCAGAAGGCGCTACTGGATGCTTGCTCAAACAAGGCAGTTATGTGAGCTGCCTTGTTCTCTTTTATGCCCTGAAAATAAGACTCTTCAGAGGTCACAACACACTAAATCCCACTTGAAACACGATGGGACTCAGTACAGCTGCTAGAGTCCTGATGTCAACTGTCTCTGAAATGAAATTCCACTTCCTGAGGAAAACCCTGCATTTGATACCCATCTCCAGAAGCGAGCACTGACCACAGCCCCATTTCACAACCTGGGTTGAAGGCAATAAGAGTTAGGACAATAGTTGCAGGGCTCCAGTGCAGAGCGAACAAACTGCCTGACTGCAGCTAAACAAGGATGGACAATAAAGCTCAGTCCTGTTCTCACTGCCACCACTGACTCCAGAGGTAACTGCAGTGAATGGACTTTAGCTGGTGGAAAGTAGAATCAGGCTCAGGCACGTACATATACTTTCTAATGAGAAAGAGGCGTTATCAGAGGGTGACTCTTCCTACTGCTTTATGATAGGATAATGTGCTAAAGCTCCTCTCTCCATGAACTACAGAGGGAGTCTAGGTATGAGACTTAAAACTGTATATCTAAATCTGAGTGTCAAGAGATGGCCAGTGTATTACAGAATGGTATTTATCACACGAGCACTTGTTTGGTTTCTAGCCAGTGCTCAGTATACGTGTCTGTTCCGTAGAACAGGCTTTGCCCTGCTGCATCAGGAAGGGACCTCTGATGTGTAGTCGTATTTTTTTCTTCACCAGGACATTGCTAAAACAGTCTACAATCCCATGCAGTCACTTAACAACTCAGAGGTCAATTTTCTTTAGTCACTGATCAAGCTGCCTAGCAGAAACAAACTACTTCACTTTTTTGCAAGTTAAAGACTGGTGCTAATTTTTCCTTGAAAATTACTTGGTGCATGTGCTTTTGCCCAGACTCATGCAGGATGCTGACAGATGTGTATTGACTGTGCAGAAAAAAGTTTGAAATTACAGAGATTTTGCAAAGGAAATATACTGGATGCAATGAAATGAGTATTATTTGATACCTCCACTGAAGTATCAGTGGAGAGGAATACATGGACTCACCTTCGGTCTTCACACTCCAGGTCATTTGGAAGCCATCAGTCATCAGATAGAAGTTCTTTAAATCCTCTGGTAATATACAGGAGTTTTTCTGCAAATCACAATCAAAATGTTATGGGAAAATGCAGAACATGCCTCAAGCCCAAAGAACAACTGAATATTGGTACAGAAATATTTGCCACTATAGGTTTTAATCTTTGTTAGGAAAAGGAAGGAACTCCAAGATGACTCAAATCAGCTCAAATATCTCAACCTAAAACTTTGAGAGAAAACTGTGCATGTCTTGGGTCAAAGATGACTTGGGAAGGTTTCAAAATGAGCAGTCAGTCATGAAAGGATTATTACAGGATTGTTCCCCAACTGAGATGAGGTATCATCCTTTGACCCTAACAGTCACTCCAAGATCACATATATAAGAACACATATATATGGCTTACAAAACTAGAGTTCTGCTTTAAGTGAAATCAGACTAAATCTACCTATTCCACTAAAGCATGTATAATATCAGCACCTTCTGAGGGAACTCAGTTCCAAGTAGGTGAGAGAAGCATAGACTCAATAGTCCCACATAATCAAGCAGGCTTGACGTTTCACTTAACAAGTGGCATGCGTGCAAACACACACAAAGTTAGTCTCACAAACCTGCTGGTCTGGCTTCATCCCACCAAACTTCAGCACTTGGCTAGGGCTCCTAACCCTGCTTCCTTCTGATCCAACAGGGAAAGAAGCCACTCCAGTGAGCTGGTGAGAGTGCTCCTAAGAACCAGGACCCTTCTCATACACCTTTCTTGGTTGTGGAAGGAGCCTTTCTTAACTTAAGAGTCTTCAGCTAAGCAACAAATATGAGGAAGGGAAAATAAAGGCTTAATCCTCAGAACAACAGGAAGCCCAAAGAGCTATAGGCAATTGCAGGCCTTGCTCTTGGTGACAGGACTGGCTGCAGACCACTGACCCTCTGTTCCTATTTATGTGTCAAGAACACAAAATGAAGCAGTACAGAAGCTTGTCAGTTTTAAGAAGACAAGCAACATGCACAACTAAAGGAGTTATCTGTTGACAATCACAGGACTCTGTGATTCTCAGGCTGGATATTAGGAAAAATTTTTTCACTGAAAGGGTTATCAGGCATTGGAATGGGCTGCCCAGGGAAGTGGTTGAGGCACCATCCCTGGAGGTGTTCAAAAGACGGGTTGATGAAGTGCTGGGAGGTATGGTTTAGTGATGATGCTCCTTGTTTGTGTGTGGGTGTCTATTTTTGTCAGTTAGGTTGACGGTTGGACAAGATGATCTTTAAGGTCCCTTCCAACCTAGAAGATTCTGTGATTCTGTGACTCTGAGAGACCTACATTTTAAAGGGAAAATGAACAAATAATGTGAGGTTTGCAACACAGCATGTCTGATAATTCAAGTACTTTTGTGACAGGAAAAAGAGGTGCATTTCTTTCATTCAGTCATTTTTAAAGACAAGCTGTTGGACACAACCCGCTCTCTGTGCAATGAATTTGACCCTCAAAGTAAGAAAAGATAGAATTACAAACTTTAAGAACATTTATAAGTCAGTAGTGCTATCCCTCATAAAGGCTTAATCTGCCACAGATAAAGACATTATTCAGGTAGGTATTTACAGCCTGGCCTCAGAAGCCTGGGTGGGTTTTGGAGCAGTTACGGAATTGCTTTGGAGAAAGCAGAGGAAAGCAGATGTTAACAGCTTTCCAATATTGTGCCTCTGCTGGGACTACTTCCCTACAGCTACTATAAAATGCAACATTCAAAGTCTAATAAAGGAAGAATATTTGGGTAACCAGTAATTAAGGAAAAGAAACACGCAGAGGCAGTTCATGTAGCTCTGTTTCACTTGGCACATGAATTTGTAACATCTCAGGGCCCTTCTGCCTGTTAAAACCCTATTCACAATCACTTTCTTTGAGTTGTTACAGACCCTGCCCCCTAAAGTGTGGTGTGTACGCTGTGCAGGATCCTCTAACATACCCACAACTTTCACTCCCATGTGTTAACTTGCTTTCTAAGCATATCCATTTATGCCGACAGACTGCTACTGACGAGTCCCAGATACTAATGGTTTGCCGCTTGCCCTTGGCACAGTGCTCTCCTACCCCAGGTAGGGAAAAATCTTCACAGGGAACAGGTATTAAAGCAGAGAATCTGATACTGTAGAAAGAGACCTACATTTTAAAGGGAAAATGAACAAATAATGTGAGGTTTGCAACACAGCATGTCTGATAATTCAAGTACTTTTGTGACAGGAAAAAGAGGTGCATTTCTTTCATTCAGTCATTTTTAAAGACAAGCTGTTGGACACAACCCGCTCTCTGTGCAATGAATTTGACCCTCAAAGTAAGAAAAGATAGAATTACAAACTTTAAGAACATTTATAAGTCAGTAGTGCTATCCCTCATAAAGGCTTAATCTGCCACAGATAAAGACATTATTCAGGTAGGTATTTACAGCCTGGCCTCAGAAGCCTGGGTGGGTTTTGGAGCAGTTACGGAATTGCTTTGGAGAAAGCAGAGGAAAGCAGATGTTAACAGCTTTCCAATATTGTGCCTCTGCTGGGACTACTTCCCTACAGCTACTATAAAATGCAACATTCAAAGTCTAATAAAGGAAGAATATTTGGGTAACCAGTAATTAAGGAAAAGAAACACGCAGAGGCAGTTCATGTAGCTCTGTTTCACTTGGCACATGAATTTGTAACATCTCAGGGCCCTTCTGCCTGTTAAAACCCTATTCACAATCACTTTCTTTGAGTTGTTACAGACCCTGCCCCCTAAAGTGTGGTGTGTACGCTGTGCAGGATCCTCTAACATACCCACAACTTTCACTCCCATGTGTTAACTTGCTTTCTAAGCATATCCATTTATGCCGACAGACTGCTACTGACGAGTCCCAGATACTAATGGTTTGCCGCTTGCCCTTGGCACAGTGCTCTCCTACCCCAGGTAGGGAAAAATCTTCACAGGGAACAGGTATTAAAGCAGAGAATCTGATACTGTAGAATCTTTGTTTTGAGAAGAATTTATTGTCCTTTGATAAGAGTCTGCTGATGGCTGAGGCCCTGGTGGTAAGTTTCAGGAGATTACTAAACCACATGGACATATCTGAAGTTCCTCAAATGCCTTTAACAAACACACCTTCTTCTGTGGGTTCTTCTCAGTCCTAAATATTTATAATTTCATGCTGTGCTTTCGCCGCTTCCCATTTCAAGCTGTAGCTGTAAGCACAGTGACTACGTTTAAAACTATGAAGAAAGAAAATATGACAGACCTGTCAAACCTTTACAAAGTCTCAAAAGAGTGTAAATGTTTACACCACGCTTTCAGTCCTTTTCACACACCTCCTGCCACAGTTTTAACTAATCTACCCCAGCAGTAAAAATACACAAGGGAAGAGCTCTCTTGACTTCAGAGTGTGCTCTCCTCTAAGCAGGAAAACCAGATCAATTGGGATGACAAAATCTAAGATTTTAAAACTTCCACTGTAGTATCCAGTAAATACTAGCACAAACCATGCACAGCACATATTTGACAAACATAACTGATTAAGACAAGGGAAAAATCACATCTGGGTAAGCCTTCTGCTCTGAATCTTCTTTTTCTGGATGGAAAGATCAACATGTGCACATTTCTCCAAATTTCTCCCCCACTTGTTTTAGGATTCTTTCTAACCATGTCCCTTGCATGACTTTCCAAATGATGGTGCAAAATACACGGGTGGAAAATGCTGTACCACAGTAAATCTGGGGTCTATGGGAAAAGGCATCTATATAGAAAGCTTCATTAATATCCATCTCTCCCATCTGATGGAAAAGATTGACTAATCTGTCGGACAGCAGAGTCAGAAAAACAAGCCACTACCACATCTTTAAAATGGCTTCTCGAGCTCTGTACTCCCTCTGCTCAACTGGTAGTATCCAGGGTTATGATCTCCAGCCCCATAAAATACAATATTCCTAATAACGTGCCAGAAGGGCCTTAACCACAGCCCTGGCAAGCAGCTGTTTTCACTCCAGTCATCTGGTTACACTCATCAGCTCATAAAACAAAACATCCCAAGCGCCCAATATAGTGTGTGGGTTCCATTTCTTTTGCTTATTGCCCATAATATCCCCAAATAGTCTCCCAAGAAAGAACAGTCCACTGAAGAAAGAGAAGAATATTAGAACCAGGGTAGCCTTGCTGCCAAGACCTGAACAGCTAAAACACTGACATATGGCAATTCACTTAAAGCACTGTTGTAACAATGCATCCTAAGTAAATATACTGAAGGACAGCGTATTGCTCTAGAGGGACTTCTCTAAAAACCTGAATGAGATTTATCCAACCTCTGGGGACAAAAGGAAGGGATTTATGTCACTTCTCAGGGCTTCCACACAGCAGAGCACCTCAGCAGCCACCTTTCTCACCCCCGAATGTCATGCTGTTCTGTGGCTGGTCTGCCCTAGCTACTGGTGAATGCAGAAGATGTTAATTTATGTAAGATACTGAGACACTCTTGTTGCACCTTTTATAAATCTGATCTGACAGAGGCGGTGTCCCTGGAGATCACCTGAAAGATACAGGGCTGGGGTAGACCTGTCCCCTGCGGCAGAGAACAGGATTTGGCAATTCTCTTGAGGATAGTGCTGTGTAGTTGATTTTTTTTAACTGGCATATTATGAGACCCCACAGGAGGGGAACCCTGTGTCAGAAACACTATCTACCTCCCAACAGTCCTCCAGCCTCTCCTCCACTACGCAGCTTGAAGAAATATACCTTTCCTCATGCACTGGTTCTGCTGGATCTGCTTCCCCACCACTCCCATGGCCAGGGCCACAAGGCAGGTTCAAGATGGGCAGATCCTGGGGATCAGGGATGGCAGGCTCGCCCAGTGCTGAGGGAGGGTCTTACAAGGAGGATGGCAAGATGGGCCCTTGTGGGTGCTTGTGCCTGCATGCGTACTTTTGATCAAAAAGAGATATGTTAGAAGCAACGAGGAAGACACCTAGAATAGCCAGAAAACACCACCACAGTTCCCACAGATTTACAGGCAGAGAGTTTCTAAATTGTTTGGCAGCCTAAGACAGTCCACCACAGGAAAGCACCAGACTGCTCGAGGGCGTTTTTATGGTTTCATTACAGAAACATAAATTTTTGTAGGCAAAGTGCATAAGGAGAAACAATGAATTCCCCACGCAGAGTTGCAGAATATCAACGCTCCAGCAAGCATGGTGGGCAGGGATTGCCTACAGCCAGCCAGGGGCAGTTCAGACACTGCTAACAAACCAATTAGAGGAACAGGCAGAATGATCCCTTTCATTTTGCTTGGCAACCCAGGTGACCAGGAGCCCTGGGACCCCTAGCACCCTGTAACACTTTTTGAAAACCAAAACAATGATGTGAGTGACTTATTTCTCTTCTGGTTGAGGCAAAAAGAAAACGTGGTTCAGACGCTGTCACTGCAGATATCAGAGTGCCTTCTAGCAATATTTTGGTATAATATCTACTTTTAAAAACTGCACATGGAGGGGAACAGGGGAGTTGCCAACCTAATTTTAGGAGTGGGAACAAGTTCATAGGACAAGATACAGTTATTAGCACTGGTGTTCCAGTGACCCGGTAACTCTGTCTCTACTCCCCCTTCTACTGCTTGCCTCACTTTCTTGGGGAAAAGATAACATCTTGGTAGGTCTAAATATAGGACAGGTGAAAAAATCATATGTATTTATGAAAATAGTTTGTGCTTCAAAGTTTTGGGGAAGCAATGCTACCCATGTAAATGCTTGACAAACACATACCTTAAATATTTTGTAGAGTGTGCTGATTTTCAGTAATTGATTTCAGGTGTGATTTCCTGAAGTGTAAGACTTAACAGTTCTTTCTGCCTCTGCAGAAACCCTTGGAAAAAAATGTGTTCTCCTCTCCTACTGTCTTACTGCACTGTGTCCTGCCATGAAGCTTGCCTTTCCCTGCAAAGCCTCATAGCAGTTAATGGACATCCAACAAGCTGTTCTAAGATTTTAAACCTTCCATTGTAGTATTCAGTTAAATACTAGCACAATGTGGCCATAGCCCAATTTAACTAACACAGCTGATGGAGAAAAAAAAAGCATATTGACAGCATTATAAGAATATCATTTTAATCATTCATTATTTTTAAAAGGCTGATATTCTTTTAAGAGTTTCTGAAGACCATAGATCATAGATTTTCTCTCAGAAGAAATACCCTTCTCTTGTAAAACTGAAATAGAACTGGAAAAAATGGTTCAAGTGAAAATATCTTAAGAATAGAGCTTTTATTTGGTAAATCTCAATGAAAAGAGAGGCTTTTTGGGAAAAATAATGTAATTTTGGGAATAGTTTGACCAGTTTTCCCAACAACAAACAAAAGGCCTCAAACACTTTCATAACCACTGACAGAGAGACGAGTTAAAAGTACAAACTGTGACAAGATCTTGTTCAAATCTGAACGCTGGAGAAATGGTTAAATGTATAAGTATTGCCACCTAGTGGCTATGAAAAAAAACCAACACAGCGATAAACGAGTACACCTAAACTTGCATTTAAATTCCAGCAGGATGAGTTTGAGGAAAAGGAGGTGCAAGTTCATCCGGGGGGGGCCTTGTGAGGTCCCGAGTGATTTACACTTAATCATCACTGCAGTACGTAGGCAATTGCATGGACTGTGTTAGTTATCAAACTCCATCCCCAAAACTCAAGGAAAAAAAGGAAAAAGAAAATTGTAATCTTTTAATTTGAGAAGGGAGATTTCAGGTTTTATCAGTGCAACTGGAACCAAAAGCAAAGAAATAGGTAGCAAAGTCCTTCAGCATTAGCAGTCCAGCTCAACTATATCGACTTAATTTTCACCATTTACTTCCACAATTAACTTTCTCCATCACTGGGCGAGGGAGGGAGCTGAAGCTTTGTTTTGGTATCCTTGGAGTAAAGTGCTTTGGCTACAGGATTTAAAAATTTGGCTTTAGAAGAACAGCTCAATACAAAGCAAACCCAATTGAGTTTGGAGGAGTAGGGCAATACCGTGTTCAGGAGAAGCAGCCCTCTCCTCTCAACAGAAGACTGAGTGAACGTCGCTCTGCTGCTCCCACACCTGAGCTGGCTCCCAGTCAGGGTGCCTCAGAGTTTCCAGCAGTTAATCCGACACCTTAACAACAGCTACAGGATATCAGGAATCATGCGAACCTGAAAAACCGGACATTTCTGCCTGACCACAGTCGCTGGCTACTGTACGAGATTCAGTAAATAACGTACGTTTACATCACGTACGTTCTGACCCGGATTTACAAATTCTTCATAAATAGCACTAATTGGAATGGGGCGTTACCAAAAGTAGCAAATGACTTTTTCCCTACGGTTTCGGAAAAACTGTAAATGGCAAGGTGTGATCAACTGGGAGGTTATTTAATGTAATGGTAACAAGTGCAGTCCCCGGCAGCCTGTGTGTTAGGGCATAGCCAGGGTTGGAGCAGAGGATGATTCACCCAACTCTGTCCTTAGCCATGCCCTTTTCCAAAGGCCAGTCAGCTTCTACTGTCCCTTCTGTAGATATGAGTGACACCGAAAAAGCAGTTATTCCCCCATGGTCAAGAGATGGACAAACAAACATATATTCAAAAAGGGGACCGAAAGTGTCATCTCTGCCCACCAGAGTCACACGACAGTATTCAGGAGCCCTCTGGTCACACACTCATATTTGTGACCAGATGATGCAATGAGGTCAGTGGAGTCAAGGCAGCACGTGCCATTCATAGTCTTCTAGAACAGGCAATGGGACACACCTTGGCCAAAAGACTGGGTTTGTTAGCCAAAGAGGAGGTGGAAGGACAGACCATAAGAAATGGAATTGAAGAGCTGAGACTGAAAAGAGAAATAAATAACTGGAACGAACTGGGTGGCTCAGTGCTATTTTCCAGCTTGAGGCCTTTACCTTTAATGGCCATAAATAGTAAAGACTCTTCATTTTGTCTCCAAGGGTGTTGGAAAATGGTTTCAGAACTGAGTCAGAACAATGTTTGTTTTCCACTGAGTCACCACTGTTGCTGCCTACTACAGCTATGTGACTTCTTCTTAGAGCTGTCAGTCTGAATATACCCACACTGATGAAGCTTCTCTAACAGATCAGGCGCGTGTGATAGCCTAAAACCTGGTAATAGGTGATTGAAAAAAATAAAATCTGTTTAGGCTCCATGGTGCATCAAACTTGGCAGCAGGCTGTCTCACACACAAACGCAAGGTAGCTGTGGCATTTGACGTTCTCCATGGGCTGCTGTACATTTAGACTGACCTCCCTGCAGTGTCATCATGAAAATACTCACTTGCTCCCATGAAACGATGGTGTGGCGTTCGGCTGGCTCCTTTTCCACAAACGTCACCTCAGCAACTCCTGGAGAAGTCTCTAAAAGGGAAAGAGGAGCACGTTTGCAGCTGGAACAGGTGACACCAAACACTGTGAGACAGGCGATTTTGCAAGCTAGCCTGACTGACAGCCCGGGAAAAGGCATTAATGACTACAAGCATTGTGCTGGTGCCTCAACAGTCGCTTTCTTTTTTGTGTGTAACTGTACTCAGTGTGTCTTGGCATGAGGATGCCTGGTGCTGCACATGATGCCACCCTTTGATGTTTGTTATAGAGATATATACACACACACACACACACACACTTTTTGTATGTGATCTTTTGCAGAGGATTAATGGAAAAATCAACCGCGGGTTCCTGGGCAGACTCTAAAGAGACACAAATCCTTCTTTGTCAGCGTGCCCTGCGGTTTCAGTTGGGGAGGATGTTCTCAGCTTGACACAAGATGTTGTGCAGTGCTGCTGTGAATTGCTAACAACCACATTCCACAAAGATGGGCACACTTCAGCGCTGGATTCGGTAGGTTTGACCAGACACAGAACCTGATCCTGCTGAAGGGACCTGCGCGGGCAAACATTAGGAATCCCAGCTGGACAAACACAAACCTGTTATGTGCACCGAGCTCATCATTTATAAAAATCACCTGAATATTTCATGGGAAAGAACCCTGTATAAATGTGAGATACTAATCTACACGGTGCTATTCTTGCAGGTGCGTGATGGCAGAACAGTTTCTCTTGCACTTATTTTATAATGTTTTACTTCATCTACAGCCAACTGAAACAGTTCCCACTGACTTCATTCACTTTGGACCAGGTCCAGAAAGATTACCCACTTGTTGTGGGAACTGCAAGCCCAGCACACGAGGCCGTGGAGTAGAAGTGATCACTATGCAGGGCTTTCAAGACTGGTTCTGCTGTGAAAGTCCTGGCTCCCAAAACAGTCACACGTATTGTAATTGCTTTCTGGTAAAACACACACAGTGCACTAGACAGGAAAGGCAGGCACCAGAGAGCTTTGGTTTGGTTTTTATCTCCAGTGTTGGGCTTTTAATTCTAGCAATGGTGTTGCCCTTGTCTCTTCTGCTGCCAGCAGAGCAGCACTTTGTTTCAGGAATTGTAAATTTTGTTTTAATGCGAAGTATTGATTGTTACATTGTTAGATAATTTAAAAGACAAAGCATAGCACCAGAAAACCAAACTCCAAGTTAAAGACAGAAAAAAGGAAAAAAAATAAAACCACAGTAGGTCACCTAGGTAATCTGTCTGGCCAAGGTGGGGGGCCAACATATAGAAGACAGATGTTTTGCCAAGTTAGGTGGGTGCAAGGCAGGGGGATCTCTGTCTTGCTCAAATATGTATACACATATGTATTCTGCTTCTAAAGAATCCTGTGGAATCAAGGATCTAACCGGTCTTAAGCTATGCAAGCCTTATGACAAGTTAAGAGATTATAATAACAGAGTAATTGTTATTTCTGTGATCAAAGAAAACAGCAGGGATGTTTAATTCATCATGCACAACGGCTCAGCTGGGATGACGGAAGATTAAATATTGTATCAATCAAAGAAGATGTTTAGGAATGAGAGAACTGCAACTTCTAAAGAGGTCTGAACCAAATCCAAGATCAAAAGAAAGAGAAATTCCGTCTTAAAAGCCTGAACGTTATAGTAAAAATATCCTGTGGGCAAACTGAAGACCATGTTTAACAGATGTGTGAAGGAATGGATGGGAGCTCCATAAAACATTAATGAGGAAAATGTCATCCAATGTCATGGATGTCTTTTTCTTCCAGACGGAAGAAATAAAGAAGCCACCTAGGTTAGACAAGAGATGCAGGATAAAGCTTAACTAGTTCAGAAGAGTCCTCCCTATCAAGATCATAGTAAACTCTGTCCTATTTTTAGGGCATGTCATCTACAAGCTTCCAAAAACGCTTTGCAGTATTAATCAGAAGGAATCAATATAATGGTCTGATGTAAAGCTGAAGCAGGAAATCCCAGCATTCTCAGTCTGTACAGTACTGCTGGTACTGCCTATAAGTTGGATAAACTCTCCACATCTTTTTAAGATGTCTGAATAGTTAAATTCTTATCTAATAAAGACTGTAAATTGTGAATTATAGTCCTGCTCTGGGCAGTCCAGAACAGCTAACACCTCCCATTCAGATTTAGTTGTGAGCAATCAACCCTTCTGAAATTTGCTATTAGTCATACAACTTCAGCAAAATGAATCATACTGGCAATGGGAAAGATGCCTTTCTTAATTTTTTGTCAAATTATATCCTCCATAAAGCTTGTGAGAAATCTCCCACTTTGTAGGGACTTCCACAGAGACTACATGTTAAAAAAACCCCACCAACCAACCAACTCCATGTCCCCCAACCTCACATAGAAACTTTGCTTAAAGGAGGGTTTTTGAAATGTTGCTATGACTATTTGGGATATGGTGTAGGGGAGGACTATGTAGAGTAGGGTAGATGGTTGGACTCGATGATCCCAAGGGTCTCTTCCAACCTGAATGATTCTATGATTCTATTTGTTCGTAAGTTGGACAATTGAGTCTCAAGCTCTCATATACCGCATGTGCAAAATTTTCTTGCTTAAAAGGAGTATGTTGAGTTTCATTACATGATCTTTTCTATCTCCTGAAAAAACTGTTTCACAAACCTAACAGAGTTAAAAACTTATTAATGGTTTTATGTTATGCTAGGCAGAAAAGTATCTACTGGCTTCATGACACTTCCAAAAGAAGATTTAGAATAATATAGTTTCTAGTCCTGCAAACTACCAAGTTTGGCATCTTCCTGAATGAGATACCCTTTGTTATTTGAAAGAAACAAATGTTAACAGATTGGTAAAGTTTGCCAATTAGTTAAGCAATTCTAATTATTATGGTGGTACAACTTACATGCTTTGGACTTCTTCACTGGTCGTAAGTTGGACAATTGAGTCTTAAGCTCTCATATACCGCATGTGCAAAATTTTCTTGCTTAAAAGGAGTATGTTGAGTTTCATTACATGATCTTTTCTATCTCCTGAAAAAACTGTTTCACAAACCTAACAGAGTTAAAAACTTATTAATGGTTTTATGTTATGCTAGGCAGAAAAGTATCTACTGGCTTCATGACACTTCCAAAAGAAGATTTAGAATAATATAGTTTCTAGTCCTGCAAACTACCAAGTTTGGCATCTTCCTGAATGAGATACCCTTTGTTATTTGAAAGAAACAAATGTTAACAGATTGGTAAAGTTTGCCAATTAGTTAAGCAATTCTAATTATTATGGTGGTACAACTTACATGCCTTGGACTTCTTCACTGGGAAAAAACCCACAAAATTCCCAGAAGGAGCAGAGTAAAATCAGAGTAAACGTCACAGCAATGGACTGGGATGCACATTGCTATATTGCACAATGCAAGTTATCAGAGTTATGGGCAGTAAACCAAAAATACCCAAACACAAACCCGGAAACGCCTTCCATGTGAAAGGAATGCTACTTGTACTTTTGAAGCCAAACCTGCATTGCCATGTTTTGCTGGTATAAATAACCCAACTACCCAAAACAGTTTATACGGCAATGTTACTTTTGGACATAGTTAACATCATGCAGATCTCATACATCTGAGCCTTGGTGGTGAAAATGTGGGCAGGGCTAGTAATTTTTTACAAAGAGCTACTTCAAAGAAGCATTTGTCATGATGGTTGATAATCAGTAGTTTCACCTTTTAAGTGCTCTCTGTGAGTAGAAAGATAATGTTATCCTGACCTCACAACTGGAAAACAGAAAAGAACAAACCAGAAAAAAAACCCCGAGAAGTCCAATGATAATGCAGTGAGAGAACACTGGGCACAGATTGAGGGTGAAAACCTGCCCTCACTTAAGCTCACAGCAAGAATTTTGCCCATATATTTTAACCTCATCTGCCTGAGCAGCTTTCTAAAAACACGTGCTATTAGCGATACACTTTGGTTACCAGATGAATCTCACTGTTGTGCAATACAGCGTCTGGGTGAGGTAATTACGGCAGTCACTTCTGGCTTTAAAATTCATAGGAGGAAGTTCCAGAAATGCAATTTCTAATGTTGTGGTACGCAAGGCTTGGGATAGAGGTATTGCTGTTCACCCATGCACATATAACAGTTCTGCGTCCATAACATGTTCTGCGCACATAAAACAAGCTGCTGAGAGATGAAAAGTCTGATGTTAAAATCCTTTACAGATGCAAACACTTCCACCAGTTCTTGTGATTCTACTGCCATGAGTAAAGTTTTGTCTGACAAGCCTTAATTTTAAATGTTGAATGCCTTGCACTCCTGGTGCACTTCAAAGGTAACTGCAGAGGTGCAAGGTGGCTCAAGATCTGAGCAAAAGCTGGAGATGGCAAGCAGGGGATGTTGTGGAAAAAACCCCAGGGTACGGGAATAAACTGCAGGGTGACTATTTATGGGGACCTGATACTGAGCAGACTCATTCTTCTGCTGAAACATTGCGCCACACTGAACTCCTTCCACTGGGCAGGCTCCCTGCTGGTGCTACACTACAACAGGAGCTAAGAACCCTGCACGGGTTTGAACAAAACATCGCTTTATCTTCCTTTGATTTTTGGAGGTCTCTTATGCTGAGATTTTCAGGGTTTTGGCCGTTTGTGCGTGGGCGAAGCACAGCTTTGTGATCCCAGAGGGGAGACACAATCCACCAGGCAGGTGCGACCGGGCTTCAACCAGCAGCACGGCCTCACCCCCACCTCGCCCTCCCAGGCCGCAGGCCCCCGGGCCTCGCAGGGTGAGGATGCCGGCCGCTTCTCGGCCGCAGGGCGGGCACAGACAGCCGCGGGCAGACCCGGCCCCACCGCTGCGGCCTGAGGCGAGGACCAGGCCATGGCCTCCCGACCCGCCCTGAGCGGGCGCGGCCCTTCCCGCCACCGGGCGGTGTCTCCATGACAACCGAGCGACACACCCCTCACCCCCGCCCGTCTCTGTGCCCTCTCCCCACTCACCCAGTATCCGTGTGACCCCCAGGGTGAGCTTGTCCAGGTAGGGCTTGATGCTGGCGGAGGGCTTCTCCTCCATCCTCGGCGGGCTCCCCTCAGCCTCAGCGCGCCGGCGACAGCCGTGTGGGTAGGAACCCGTTATGTCCTTCGTGCCGCCCTGTAGCGGCGGCGGTGCTGCCGCGAGGAGCGCCGGGAGTAGTAGTCTTCTCGGCAGGAGGCGGCCGGAGGGGAGTGGCCATTCCGCGGGGGTGGGGGGCAAGGCTCATTAGCGATCAAGAACTACAACTCCCAGCATGCCTCTTTCTTCCTCCTGCCAACGGGCCCGGCACCCAATGGGCAGCCAGCGCTGGGGGGGCGGCGGGGGGCAGGCTGGGAGTGGCGGTTGTTTCAAGATGGCGGAGGTGGCCGCCGGGCCGGGCGGAGGCGTTTACTGGAGTCGGGACGGTATCCTTCCGTAGGGCGGGGACGGCTCCCGAGGAGAGGGGGAGAAGCCGCGGCGGGGGCCTCCGCCCCGGTGTTGTCCCCGTGGAGGGGAGGGGGCGAGCGGGGTTTGGTGGCCGTGGCACAGGGGAGCTGTGGGGGCTGCACTCGCGGGTGTGGGGGAGATCGGGCTCGTGGCGGGGGGGGTGGGGACGTCCCTGTGGGCCGGGGGGAGGAAGTTAAATTTCAAAAGCTAAAGTGGCCCAGAAGTGGAGGCGGGGTTGGGTGTCCACCTTCTGTGTGACCTAGCTATGAAGTGCTGGGGGAGTATCTAAATGTGTAAGGAAATGAGGGGGGGCTGGGTTCAGCTGGTGGAAACTTGCAACGGAATCAACAGAGAGAAACTGAGGCTAGAGGATGAACAGGCAGCAATAAAAGGATGTCTTTTATGACTGGTGTCTAAGCTTGATCACAAGCATAGCGTTTAGGGTGAACCTGTGAGGGACCTGGAGGCCTTTGTCTGTGAGGGCTGAGTGGGAGGCTGTGGTGTCTTTGTCTGCAGAAGACATGCAAGTTCCAGTTGTGTGAGACTACATGGGGCTGGAGACGAAGATGGAGCAGGTGGTGGTTGTGGTATTGGGCATTCAGCCTGTAAAAGTCTGGCTAGACAGAGATGTGCTTGCATGGATCAGAGAACCAAAAGGATTTGGCATTGATGCTTGGACTTGTGTGTCTGAGTTAGAGGCTCAGTTAGCTGAAGATATTAGGGTGGAACTGGCAGTCTGGTCTGGTGGAAATGTAGGAACTGACAATTTAGCTGTAGGTATGAGTGACTCGATGCCTTGCTGTTGCTCACACTGGGAGTGGGGTTCTAGCATTAGCTAGAAGTGGTTGAAAAGTGTGCTCTTGTATTTGTGTTTGATTGCACACCCACTGGAAAACAGTGCACAAATGAAATGGGCCAACCATCCAATGGACTGTTTAGGGACCATGTTATTATAATTTCCCATTTGTGTAAAAGACAACCAAATAAAAAGCCACCTTTGCCTATAATTTTCTCGGCGATGTGATAAAGTGAAGGTTGGTAGTCACATATCAGGTTTGTTGCCACACTATCACTATTCTGTTCAGTTGGGGAAGTTTTGATGCAGTTACGACAACTGTATTTTGATCATTTAACTACTGGGGTGACAGGTTATAGTCCCATGACCAAATATGGTTTCTTGAGCCCGGTGGTGGCCTCATGCATCATGATATTCCAAGAAATTAGGCTTTTCCTGACAACCATTTTAATTTTACATGTCTTTGCAAGTAGGTAGTGTTGCCTGTGATCTTGGAAAAGTTTAAATACCCAGAAATGCACATGGCACAAGAGCAAATAATAGCGGATGCTTTCAAAGAAGAGGGGTGAGGGTGGGAAATTTGGTAATGTTGGTTTAATAGCTTTGGAAGACTGAGATTCCTTCTATAATTGATGAATAGATACAGCATAGCAAGACAGATGCACTGTTGCTTGCTGTAGGGGGGCTATACAGCATCATAAGGTGTTCAGTTTCTCCAGTGCCTGTGATGACTGTCTCTGCTGTTGCCCTGAACACTGACTGTGCCTGTACAAGGTTTATAATGTGTATGGTTACCTTACTGGGCATCTTGAGAGGAACATGGCGGTGGATTAAAGTTAAATGGTCGATGCTGATACTGTCCCCAGTCTTCTGCTCTGTGATAAGGATGTTGGACTTGTTTGTGAATCACCTCCTGAGTCACTGCAGTTTTCAGTCCAGCTGATTAAGGTAACCTGATCTGGTTTTGGTTTCTTCTAATACACAAGGCTCCAAACCTTCTTAAGAGGGTGGTCCTGGTAGCTGGGGGGAGTAACGACAACAGCTTTGACTAATTTTTTCATCCTGCTACTAGGTATGTATCCACAACAGTGCCAATACTGGAAGCAAGCTCAAAAAGCCGAATGTTGTTTAGGCAAACTTGTTTTATTTCCTACAGCCACGTGTTGACACACAGATTAGCCATATGTCCGTTGAGAAAGCAATTACCTGCACTACTGTTTGTTGTCTCCTGTAGTAGTGTGAGTTGAAGACACTCTCCTCAGTGTCCTGCAGATCACAGTTGCGCTGAGGCAGCTGTTTGGGCTGGGCTATGATTCAGACTTGGACTTTTGACCTTTAGGAAAGAGGAGACAGTGCTTTACTTTCAGAGTTTGTTCAGCTTCCTCACCTGGTTTGTGGCATGACCCCACAATGTGTTGTGACAGCAAGAGATAGCAGGCTGCAGCTTATGTGTGAGAACAAAAGTACTTCCAGTGTTTGTAGAGAGAGTTGGCTTTGATAGTAGTACTGAGTGAACATATTCCTAAACTGGTGTGAGACTGATGAGTGATAATTGCTTACAAGTGATAAAGTGGGTCAATGAGATCAGGAATGAGCCTGTGATCAAGCCTTTTACAGTGTGCCAAGTACCAGTTGTGTGATGGATTGTGGGTATTGACTAAATTTGAAATTGCTGTACCGAGGGGGAAGCTTCTAGGTTGTTGCTAATTTTTTCTACCATGTGGTAGTTTATTAAATTAAGTTTTTGAGATAGTACTATCAAAATCAAATTTTAGTTAAGGCAAGAGTTTGTATAGGTTAATTGATTTTTTTTTCACAATTTGACTTTATTGTATGAAGACAACTGCAAAACCTTAAATGCATTTATCTGTAAACAGTACAGAAATTAGGTAATTAAGTGACCAGCCTTAGAAGGTTGAGGAAAGTAAAGGGGTACAAACCGAAAGATAGTGGAGCAGGATTTTGTGCCCTGTGCTTTTGTTCTTTACTTTAGTGTAATGTTAGTTACTTAGGAGAACAAAAATCTTTACATTCAGGTAAATGAAACTGTCACTTTAAGGAAAACACTATAGTTTACACCCTTCCCTGAATTGTGTTGAGTCCTATTTTTAGGGACTTCTAGGAGGCAAGAATTTGAATTCAGTGACTGCCAACATAGCACAAATAATAGGGTGCCAGTCCTTTATGATTTTTAAGCGTTTTCTGCAGTTAACTACTTTTAAAATAATGTAATAGTTGAAGCTCTGGGTTATTTGAAAGTTCTTGAAACTTCTTTAAGAAAATCAGTCAAGAATTTTCAGTCAAGCTTTCATCTGTTACTCATCATGTGATGATCAGATGAGAATGACCAATTTCCCTTGAAGCCTTTTGCATTTATCCTATTTATGTTTCTTAGAATATATTGTACAAAATTTATTTCATCACAGTACGACTATACACTTTCTGACTTTGTCTTCTGTACGTGTGAGAAACACCGACTCACATCTTAGAATTTAAAGAGGACAAAGTCACCGAAGCAAAGGTTAAAAAAATAATAATTTATTAATACGAAACAGCGCTGAATCGGGTGCACCAAAAATAGATGCACGATGATCTTTTATCTTTCAGGTATTTTATACCTTTATCCTGGCCGCTTGAGTTTGTCTCCCTTCTCATTGGCTGAGAAGTTGGAGCTTACATTCTTCCCGACTGCTTGACCTATTACAGGTTTATTTTGCACTTTTTCCCCATATAAGGCACACACACACACCTATTCTACGAAATCATTATCCTAAACACGCCTTTGATTAGTTGATTATGCTACACGTTATTTCACAGTCTTTGCTACCATCTACTTGGCAGATTTACCAGACTGGTTTCTTTGGCCTTATTGATACTCCCCTACCCTTTGGGTTTTTGTGTTGAAGGCCATGTTCTAGTCTGTTTCTCTTCACCTAGATAACGCTTTGCAAACAAGGATCCCTTGACAGACCAAGGGCATTTCTGGGGATTAACTGGATACAATTTATTAGACTCTGCTATTACTAAGGCTTCTTTGTTAGTACTATCACACTAACAATGATACATCAATAAGCTGAAGCAAAACTTAGTTTATTTCCCACAGTACATATCAAGAGTTTCCTTATATAGTGATAACCTGCTCTAATTTAAATAAATATTGTTACTTCATTATCTTAGTAATTGCTCTTGTATCTGGGGCTGGTCCCTGGAATCTTTTGTGAAGGTGACCTCTAAGATAATCTTTACAGGCTGTGGGAGTTAATGCATGGCAAAGGAGTAGTTGTTTTTGGTTTAGCAATCTGTGTGTTTGTTTTTCTAGTCAAGTTTTACTTGCTTTTGGTGCTCCCAAAGTGTTGCCAGTTTGTTTTCTTATCAACAGTCTTTTAAAACTAAGAGCCAGCTTACTTATTAGTTCTGTTTAAAGGGCCAAGCTTGCTTTCTTTTTGTTTATTACCTCTTAATAAAGCCACATGCAGTTTCTGATGAAGAGCAGCCAATGGTGTCTGTTTCAGGTATGACCTTCTAGTAGCTGTAAACAGAGATTTTTCCTGTGAATGCTAAACTTTGCAATGTTTTTTCAGGTAGGTGGTTTGTGCACTTAAGTGTGTAGGGTACCGAATCATCACAAGTTGTAATGGGACATCCAGGATTGTAGCAGAGGATTCATGCTCTACTGCTTAGATGAGCATAGGGTGTAAGATGAACAGTTTCAGGGGAATTGATTCTGTTGCGGTTCTGTTGCAGGTGCAACATAGTTTTATGCAATCTGTAAGGTAAGTTGATTATTTACTGTGGTCTCCAAAGAATGTTGAAGCATTAGAGATGTTCAGGTCTTTTGTAAATGTTAAAGGGAAGAATTAAAATGAAGGTTCATTGTGTAAAGAAAAATTTTTTTTTTTATTAGTTTTCTTGACCTTGATTTACTGAGTGCATGCTCGTGTACATCCCTGGGGAAAAGTTGGGTGCTCTTAGTCCCCCTTCAAATTTTCTAATTGTTTTCAAACACAGCTTTTACAGTAACACCAGGTCCTGAAAACGTATCTGGGGATGGTTAACTCTAGTAAAATTGTATTTATATCCAGAGTATGTCCAGCAGTTATGAATTTGCCCATTCTTACTCAAGATTTGGAGTAGCATGCTTACCATTCAAAACTACGGGCCAAACAGCTCTGTTAAAAATCTCCGTGTGTTGTGTAGTTCACATAGTTCAAGCCAGGTCATGTCAGATCATTATACTCTGTGCCCTGGAAAGAAAGCAACGATCCTAAATGATGGAAAGGGATTCACTGTGGGAAATATTCTTCCACTTCCATGGAATAGAGTTTCAGAAACATTGTTTTCTCTTGTGTACCTGCATATAAAGCTTACAAGTTAGTTCTTTCACTTGAATTGCTGGTATACTCCTAAAATTCATTACCCAAATAAATGTAATCTATCTGATAGTATAAAATAAAGATTTATTTTTTTGTTTGTTTCAAAACTTTTTGCATTTCTGAACAGCCAAAACTCAAACCTTGAGGCACTGGCAAGAAGCCACTGGCTTTCATCTGGCCCTGCGAGGTTTTAGTGTTCGTATCAGTGATGGCACTTTATAGTTGCAGCACCAGGATTTTCGATGCTTTCGTGTTGTTATTGTTGGTAGTAGTTAACTAATTCTAATTATGGCACGAAGCTTTCTACAGATTATCTGTGGAGTGTGCTCTACAGTGTTATGTTACTCATATGCCCGGTCCTGGAAACAACAAACCAAGCTTAAGCCATGAGTTGGTTAGCTCTATAACAGAAAAAATAATACATTTTATCATATGAGTGATACTTTTAGCAGCATTACTGTTGCTAGGTTCCCCGTTGTCTTTAAATATCAAAGCAGAAGCTCAGTTTTATGCTTTTGCATCTTAAACACAGATTTTTGCAATGAACCTCACTCAGAAGATGACGTGCTTTTCAGAATTTACATTGATGTTCATTGTGGCTGGATGCATTTCAGTGCCGTGCACCTCTTTTTCTGCTGATGTGTTCATCTTAATAGAATTTTGTATGGAATGAGAGGCGGGGGGGAACTGCAAACATACACCAGAAATGCTCATTCTTTTTAAAAAGAGCTGCTAAGGCAAGGATGCTTTTGTGGAAGTGCTGTTGTAGGAGGCAAGGATCCCTTTTACTTTTATAATCTGTGTGTTCTGCTTGTCTTTTGTTTGCAGGAGTGTCTACAAAAGAAAATTTAAGAACAAGGTATTTGCCAAACTACCAAAAAAGTAAAACTGAGCCAAAGGTGCTTCTAGCTGTTGCTTCTGTTTCAATGGATCCTGCTAGAAGCTCAGGAGATCTGACAGGGCAGCAGGTCAGTAAAGGCAAATTTTTCTTGCTCTGAAGAGTAAACGTAGTAAAAAAATGGCAGAAAATCTTTCGACTGAAAACTTTTAAACAATTTTAGAGTACTATTGTTTTTGCAGGTTTTTTTACACTTTTTGCCCGCTTACATGGTGGCTTACTGTCAAAAATTACTTTTCCACTGAGATCGCTTGCCCACCTAAAGGGAGCAAGGGCTGAATGTGCTAATTTATGTAAGTAGTATGTAACTGGGGCTATGTAAAACAGATTATATATATTTCTATGTGTGTATGTGTACTGAGAGACAGTGTAGCTTTGAGTAGCCCCTAAGGCATACCTTACTAGCCAAACACACAAGAAGTTTGGTTTCACTTTGTTCAGTTTCATTGCTCTTGTTATACCACTTAAAAACAAGACTTGTAAAAGCCTTCTGAGAGACCTTTTTGCTGTGGTTGCTCATGTTAGTAGGGTAGAATCACTTTCTGGTTTTGTTAGCAAAACTTAAAGATGCATCTGAATAGTAGTAGTAGGAGTAGCTTTGTCAGTTGACATTATCTTTGAATTGTCTGGTTTACTCCTGTGGCAATAGGTGATGCTTTTCCTACAGTTTATTGCATTAGAAATTTCAGACAGTGGGGTTTCCTTTGGAAGCTTATTCTGTATTGTGGTAGGTATTGTGATATTCAGAAATCTGTTGAGAGATGCCTTTTTCCTAAAATGCTTTATATAGTACAGTGGCTATGTAACTCATTTGAGTACAGTTAGCTCTCTTGCCTAGTAGCCATCTTGGGCAAGTCTATAAGTGACTAGGGTTTAATATCCTCACGCTTACAGGCAGCATCTGGAACTTTTGACTGCTTCTGAATCACTGCTGTATTATCATGCAGTTAAATCTTGTTCTTCATCTGGGCTAAGATGCCCTTCTCAGTCTTCTGTGTGCAAGGTAAAGGCTGTACCTTACACGTACATTCAAAACTCTGATGTGACCTTCTGTGTGCAAGGTAAAGGCTGTGTGCCTTACACGTACATTCAAAACTCTGATGTGAAGAGGGATCACTCAATTCTCATTGCTTTGACAGTGTCATTGCCCTTCAAATCCTTCAGCATGACACTCTAAAAAAATGGTGTTTGTTTCTAGGGTCCCTCCTGGGCCTGTCCCTTTCCATTTCTCTGTTTATTAGTAATTGCTTTTAGGAGTTGGGCACGTATCTCCACTTTGCAAATGCTGCTGTTAAGTGACATGCAGGAATTTCAGAGATATTATTGCAGAATTTTATGTAGAAGCATCTCTTCATAAGTATCAACAAGCCCGCTGCCTCACAGATACCTTCATATGTCACATTAAAATCTGTTTTGTTGTGTAGTGTGTTGTTTGCATTACTTGATGTTTAGAGAATTTTCACTCCTTTTCCCTGCGAGATCTGTTGGGGTAGAAATGGTCTTTGTTCTTTTTATGTAATGCCTAATACGTGAAATCTTGATTGGAGACTCAAATGTGCTTTTATAATATTGACAATAAAATGTGTTCAGAGCTTTTTCTCTTTTCTGTCTTTTTTTAACCTTCTGTTTTTCTCTTACCTTGCCAAATCCTCACAGAAACTTTGTACTCTAACTTTGAAGATAAGCTCTGAATTACTTGAAACAAACAGAACAAATACATTTTACTTGTTATGGAAGAAGAAGGTTTCCTGAAGTTTTTTTGCAAGGAGTTTTCATCATCAACATAACTAATTTTCTTCAAAGTGTTGTGTGTGTGTCTAGGGACAGCTGATTGCTTTACTTTAACATAACTTCACGCTGTGGTACTGGTAGGTAGCTCACCATTACTATTTACCAAAATCCTCTTTTGAAGAGAATGGATTGAGTTTTGCTCTAATATGAATCTTGGCAGAACTGATTTATCTTTTTTCCATTCAGATAGACTTGAGTACCACAAAGGAGGATGACAAGTTTTGGAGAAGTCTTCAAAAAGGTCTTGTTAGTGCTGGAACTTTTCTGGTACTTTTATTAAATCAGTGGTTTGCTATTTTGGTCTTGACCAAAATTTCCCATCTTCCTACTTCCCATTTGATAGAAGTTGTCTGTTTCTCTCATGAAAATCGTCATCTGCCAGGGTGTGGTTTATAAAGTGAGAGAATCTTCCATTTATGTAGTACATTTCATCCAGAAAATACTGAATTACAAAACCGTGTTCTACTTTGAGATGTGTAGAAAGGGCAGAAATTTGGAAAAATGATATGGTACAGTCTTGACCTCTATCTCATTTATCTTCTTGTTTTGATGGTGGAGCTGTTGCTGTAGATAATTCCACAGCTTCATTTTGACACGTTTTATGGTACAAGCCTGCCTTTGAGAAATTTTTGTGTGTCATCTATCCATACAGACTAACTTTTCAGATTTTCCTCTCCATTCCACAGCCATTTGTCTTACACTATGTACATAGGTTTGGGTGATAGCTTGAGGTAGCTTCTGTTAAAGTCTCCTTTACTAATGTGGTCAATCTTCTGCCTCTTTTTGAGTGAAAAATGTCATGTGACTTTATTTTTCTTGAAGTCCCATCATCTAGCTGCTAAAACAAAATTAAATAATTTTCAGGTGTTTTTGGCATGGGAAATGGAATTCCTTGAACCATGTCTTTAGCTGAAGTTAAATTCAGTTAAGTTAAAGACATTCTCTCTTCCTTTGTGCGACTGGAAATATATGTTTGGGGGAAGGAAACTGAAATCAAATGTCCTCTTGAAAAGCCCTAAAGTCTAATTTGCCTTGTAAGATTATTTTTTTTAATTTATTTTTTCAACAAAAATGCATTGAAGTTAAAATAGGGGTCAGGTAGGTGTAATATGAGTCTGTATAAAATCATCACCTCTTTCAAAAGCAACATAATCCTTTAATTGTTTCAAACCACTGTTCAAGAAGCAATTAGCCAAGAATGGAAGGGGGCACTTCCTCTCTGGTGTGATTACTGTGATTACTGCTAATGAGGGGAGAGAAGCTCTGAGCTTGCTTCCTGTGCTCAGAGGTTGTTCTGTGCTGTATTGTCTTAACTTGGCCAACCTGCAGGGCATTTGGTAGCATTCTTGTATCTCATGTTAAGCACTGTGTGTGCTCGGGGAGTTTTCTAATACTTATAGGTTTGTAAAAGTCTAAACTGGAAGTAAGTAATGACATTATAAATATTTTAACTTGCCAAAATCTTGGACAGAATAGCATAGCTCTTATTGCTGCTTCCATCTTGGGATCCTTATTTTGTGCTTACAGCAAGCACTGGAGAATGGAGTCACCGATGACAGAAATTTTTCATAAATAAAGACAATTTAGAAGTGTTTCCTGCTTAGAAACACCCGAAATGCGAGTAACCTCAGTAATGCAAGGGACTGTTGCAAACAGGAACAGCAGTGTGCCCTCTGGTGGACATTGGTAGCAAATACTACAGTTCTCGGCGGGATACAGGAATGTATTAGGAGTGAAGTAGTGGAGTTCGTTAAAGCTGTGCTTTGAGAAGGAATAGCAAGCACGAAGCTAGCAATAAATTATTAAAAACAAATTGTAGTGATGTGTGAAAGGGTGTGTACTTTTCTGTGTATTATAAAAATTTCTTTGAAATAAGGACTTAACATCCATTAAATATATATTGCATACTTTTTTTTTTTTTCTGCTTTGTATGCTTAGGTCACAAATGCTAAGGTAGAAGTGTGTGGTTTTTTTTCTTACTCTTTATTTTAGGATCCTCATATAATAAAGTTTGAACTTGGATTTGGATATCATTGCATTAGATTTCCAAGTCAAGAACCTAATGCCCTTTATCTAGTATGATTCAATGAATAGTGTATGTTTTCAAACTTTACCCAACATGCTTAGTATTGAAGCTAGCAGTTTGCATTTGCATTACAAGTCTCTAAAAAGAATTCTCCACAATTTGGTAATTTGTTTCATTGAACTGTACTTACATTTGAAAAAAAAAAAAGTATTTTCTTTCTATTTGGAATTTCATAGAATCATAGAATTTGTCTGCTTTCAACTTCTAATTATTAGGTCTTGAAATGCTTTTAATATCTTATGAAATATTTATTCTCTCTTAAAGAGTACTTTCTAAAATGTTACTTTCAATTTTCAGGTCACTAATGAGGGAGGAATGAAGAGTGCTTCTTTAAAGGATTTGTGTCCTGAGGACAAGAGACGCATTGCAAACTTAATTAAAGAACTTGCCAGGTAAGAATAAGCATCACCTGAAATTCCATTATGTTTAAGGAGAGTCATTCCTCTAATTAACATCAAGCAATGTAGAGCTGCGTTATGAAACTGAATATTTGCATAAGGTAGCTTTTCTTGCTGGAAGAGGTATGAACAAAGACACAGCCTGATAGCGTTTCTCATTGCTTCCTGATCCAAAATCCCCTAAACGTATTGAAAACATGACTCAAAGTTTTGTGACCTGCAGGAGTTCATCTTTATAAACCTAGTCATAGGTTTAGGGTTTTGTTTGCTATTTGTATCATGCGCTTTAAATAAATCTATGTTGTTTTTTGGAAGTGGCAAACTTTGTTGGTATGAAATTTTGTGGTGCTTATTTGTTGGGGATAGGGCGTTTTATATGAAATACCACATTAATGGTGGATTGGTGATCATGTGGCTGGAACATGCTCATTAGTAACATGCCCGTGTTTGCACCTGTAGAGCAATAGAGCCCAGAGTAATTTTAACCTATCTAACCAAACTTTCTTTTGCTTTGATTCATTTCTGAAGGTTGTCCCTGTTCTTTGAAAGGAGAGGCAGAAATTGTGCAAGTTTCTCAGCTTTAGCAAAAGGTTTTTTCCTAAGTTTCCTTCAAGTGCTAGTGGCATTCACAAAGAGAAATGATGTGAAAAATAAGTTGAATTTGAGGGAGGAGATTTCCACCCCTCCGCTGCCCCTTCCCTCCCTCCCCCCCACCATGTCCCAAACACTTTAGAATCTGTGGAAATCTGCTTCTTACATAGTTCCTGTAAAATTGAGAAGGTGCACATGGGACTTTGGCAGGCATTCCCACAGCAAAGGGGGAAATCTCGTGAGATGATATTGGGTCCTTTGGGCTAAAAGTTAGTGTTCATACTAAGAATTTATAGAGACAAAGTTTTTTCTATAACAAAATGCAGGTTCTCAAGTACTAATGAAATGCTTTTTGCCGTAGATTTCATATGTCTGTGCAATAATTGGCAAACATTACTGTCCTTTTTCTTTTTATATAGGGAAATTTGGGCAGAGAAATTAAGTTACTTGCTCAAGGTCATGCAATAAGTCTCTGGTGCAGCTAGGAATATTTTCTCTGATTACTCTCATCCAGTGGACCATTTTGCCTGCTAATAATTTGTACCAATATAGGATTTCTTGCTATATAGTATTTTAGTAATTTCTGAAGTTCTTCATGCTTGCAACTGTATTTTATCCTACCTCATGTGTTAGAAAATGTCTAGTTAAGGCTGTCATAAAGAGTAGATTGCTGGGAAGCCTGGTTACAAATTGTCAGATGTTGGAGCTATTCGGACACTGTTGCCACTATTGATATATAGAGGTATATTCTGATATTAAAAAAAGCCTTTTATTACATTGTTCCTCATAATACACTGCTCCCTACTGAATAGTAGTACACTAACTCATTTGAGCATGGGATTCTTCTTAAATCTCAGATGCTGTGATTTTTCCCTGAGGACAGTTTGATATTTCTGCCTGACATTTCTTCGAAGAAAAATAGAAGGTGCAGCAACATTAATTTTGAAAAGTAAAATTAGTGGAACACTATTATTTTATACTTAGTTCTCTTTTATTTTTAAACCTAATCATATTTTTATTGGATGTAATTAAAAGTCCTTTGCAGAGTAATAGGGAAGTTGAACTTTAATTCCGCTCACCTCGTCACTTTTTTAAAACTCCCCATAATTTTCATCCCTAGTTGTGCAATGATGAAGAAGGTTTTTACATACAGTAGAACATTCTTTGCTGTTTCAGAGAAGAAAAAGAACCAGCAGAATGCTGAAAGTTTTTCAGGAAGACTGTCCTGCAGTAAATACTTGGAATACTAAAGATCTCACTTGACCAGAACTATACTTCACTGTTCCTTATTTTGCTACTATTTATGAATTAAAATGATGGTAGCTGGGACTAATTCCTGCACGTTTATTGCAGGTCGGTAGACAGAAATAGATTGGTCAATAACTGTCTGCATGAAGGCAGTTGTAAAGTGGTAAAATTCTGTCTACGTGGAAACCAGTAGCAAAATACGATTAACTCCTGGGGCTTGAATTTCAACCAAGTCTTGCTTGAGCAGTTCACGATATTGCTCTTTCCCTTGACTTCTGCGACTGCTGAGGGAGAGCTAATGTACTTTTCCTTCTTCTCCTATTTTTTCTTCTCTTCCTCCAATGCCCATTCCTGATACGCTTTTGAACATTGGGAAGGTGTGTGTCTATGCATGTCCTAATACGCTGCAATGTCAGACTTGGGCTTGGTGTAAGTAAATTCCAGTGCTGGCTATATTATTATCTTTCCCCTTGGAAAAAAAAATCATTTATGGGTCTGTAATGCTCTGCTGCTGGGGATTCCAGTGGCTGACATCACGTTAGCTGTTGGGGACTTTATGAAATTGAGTTTTGAGAAAGGGTTGAAAGAAAGGACTCGGTTGTATCCTTTCTAATCCTCCTCTCTAGGCTAAATAATCTTAGTTTTTGCTCTGTGCTGTCACCTGTAAAGCTAACCATTATTTTGCCTTTCTTTGAACATATCCGGTCTATCTTGCCTCTGAAAATGAAAAGAGAGAGGCAAACTGGATCCAAAGTTTAAAACACTCAAATGTTGTAAATTTGAACTTTTTTTTTATTGTGTCAGCAGATTCTTTTCAAATTGTTTTTATAGGGGAATTTCTGAGTAGAATGAATCATGCCCATGAATGCTGAAGTGCTCTGTGAGTAAATGGGAAATTCTTGATTCTGATCAGCCATTATTTTCAAAAACAGCCAGCATGCCACCTCTGTGTTTTCAGCGAGGTGCTGCTGGGTGGTGGTGAGAGCAGCAGGCACAGGAGGAACAAAGTTTAGCTCTCCCTACAATCAGAGTCCTTTTAAGAGGACTTTCTCTGAGCTTTCATTACTGCAGGCTACTCCTGAAGCAGTCATCAGCTTCTGGAATGAAATAAGCAGTGACATGGTGAAGGGCCCGAAAGATTCCTACCCTTGTACTCTGCACCAGTGTCAGGACACATCAGCCTCGTCCAAGAGGCAGCAGCACAGGGTCCTCTTGGACTTAGCCAGTTATAGTCATAGAGTCATAGTCATAGAGCTGTCTTAGGCCAGAAGGGACCTCCAAAGGTCATCTAGTCCGACCTCCCCGCAGTCAGCAGGGACACCCCCAACTAGACCAGGTTGCCCAGGGCCTTGTCGAGCCTCACCTTAATATCTCCAGGGAAGGGGCCTCAACCACCTCCCTGGGCAACCTATTCCAGTGCTCCACCACCCTCACAGTGAAGAACCCTCTCCTAATCTCCAATCTAAATCTGTCCCCCTCCAGCTTGAAGCCATTTCCCCTTGTCCTGTCACTGCAGGCCTTTCTAAACAGGCTCTCCCCAGCCTTCCTGTAGGCTCCCTTCAGGTACTGGAAGGCTGCTATTAGGTCTCCCCGGAGCCTCCTCTTCTCCAGGCTGAACAACCCCAGCTCCCTCAGCCTGTCCTCGTAGCAGAGGTGCCCCATCCCCCTGATCATCCTTGTGGCCCTCCTCTGGACCCTCTCCATCAGGCCCATGTCCTTCTTATACTGAGGGCTCCAGACCTGCACACAATACTCCAGGTGAGGTCTCACCAGAGCAGAGTAAAGTGGCAGAATCACCTCTCTGGAGGTGATGCTAAACAGTTGGCTGTTGAGCATTCAGGACTTGCTAGACACCAAACCAAGAGTCGTTATGAGGTATTCCAAGGGGAAATACTTTAAGTGATATGCGGATCCTGAGAGCTCTTTCTTTTTTGGCATTTTGCTGAATGGAAAGGGTCATAACTTCCTTTGCAGAAAGAGTAAGCGAGTGTGTGCTTGCAGGCATTCACCGTGCTCCTAACTGATGTAGCTCCATAATACTGTGTATGTCATAAATACTTCTTCCCTGCCCGCACAGTTCACGTAGGCAGTGTGCTTTTGAATGAACAGAGGCATTGATGATGTGATGTAGATTTGTTCATGAAAGTTTAATTTTTGTTCTTAGTGGTGAGAATTGGTATCTAACTGCTTGTATTCTTTCTTTCTTTAGATAAGATAAACATGGAGAAAACTGTCTCCCTGTAGTCTTTGCAAACAAATCTGTGATAGCAATTTAGGGAGAAAGGTATTGTAATGCCCTTATCCACCCAAGGGAGGGAGTGATTGCCCTTTTCAAATGAGATACAAGATGGTTTTTGCTATCAGATTAGTCTCTTCCGGGCAAAGACCACTGGCATGCCCAGAATGACTTGTACCTGACAGGTAGTAAAACAGCCTTCAGACAGCCCTTTGCCCTCATTGAGAAATTGTTTCCTGCTTCCCAAGACCTCGGATTCCTAAACCCTTTCTACGGTGCTGACAGTCTGGGATGCTAGTCTTTTCTACTGGCATTGCTCTATGTGGACTTTTTTCCTGATACGAAGGTGAAATTGACCAACTAAAATTGAAGTTTTCCAACAAAAGGTGGTAATGGGAATCAAAACAGAAGGTTAATTTGGTTACAGAACTAGAAACCATTACAAAGGAGGACAGTAAAACTATTGTAATATATATCTGCTGTTTAAGTGTTTTTCTTCCTGCACTTAGGATCTTTGAAGGACAACTTGTCTCTAGAAGCCCCTGTTACAAATCTGCATCTTTTGGCCTCTTGTGTTGCCTTCCCTCCTGGGTTACACTATCTCATATTTAACAAAATTGTTACCTGGCTTTAGCTTCAATGTCAAGATCTTTTCTTCTTTTCTTTTTTTTTTTTTTTTTTTTTTTTTTTTTTTTTTTTTTTTTTTTTTTTTTTGATGTGCTACTTTAGGAACAATATTGTGCTGCAGTTCTCTTAATTGGTCAGGCAGTGAGACTGCAAATGAGATATCCCTAAGCTTGTCTGGAAATTACTTCTTGTTGATAGGTAAAGCACGCCTAGGATTATTGTATCACCAATCACACTTACCTTTTGTGCTTAAAAAGTCATTTGTAGCTGTAAATTCATGCTGTGAGATCTAGTTTTGTATTTTGCAAGTTGCATATCATAAAATTTATCCATTATGCGGCAATTTCAATTACATTTTGGGATCATTGGAGTTTTTTGTTGTTTTTTTTAATTTATACAAACTGCCCAGGATACTTGAGTAAAATGTATCAGATTTGTGAACAGTGTCCTTAGATAAAAAAATGCTACCATTTTCAGTTCCTGCAGTGCTGGTATTAAAAGTCACTTTGCTCAGTTCTGCCAGAGGCGTGTTGCGATCAGCTCTGGCATGAAAACTTCTTGTTTCATCTTTTTGGAGTGCATCTTTCACTTGGAATACCTGATTTCATTCCATGATTTCTGTGTGTACTGGGCTCTGCATGATGCCCTTATCTTGATCCTTGCTCCATTTTTCCTCCCTTGTGGTCTTGCCTGTTCCACATGGCATTCTTGGCTTGAAATTTAAAACTTGTGTTTTTTGAGAATGGTCATCAAAATATTTTTGTCTTTGCTAGCTAGTTGGCAGACTATGATCAGGTGAGTGTTCCCTAAAAGATAAATGTTCCTAATGAGTATAGGACCAATCATTGAAGTTTCCAGTGTCTGCATTTCTGCTTTTTGTTTATTTTGTCTTCTGTCTGAACTTGCTCTGCCACAGTTCTTAATGCGCTCAGATTGCTCTTGGTAAAAGCTTAATTTTTTTCCTAACATATTTTTTTAAAATAGAAAACACTGTTTCTAATTTGCTTTTTCAGCTCTTCTTTTGCAAAAAATGTAAGTGCCATCAGCTCTTTTGAGCTTTGTCCCTAGTGTAGTGTTGATGTAAGTATTATCATTGCTCTCTTGCGTGCCACTTTTTCATTAGACAAATAAAACTTGAAGTGCTGTTGAACCTGTGAAGTGCTTCAAAAATTCCACCTGGAGAGCATCAATCCTGCTTACTCGGTGGAATGAGTCAGTGTCATCAGAGAACTTGTTGATCAATTTCTTCTTCAGATCAGATGGTCAGAACTGCTAGTATTAGCAATGGACTTGGGAGGTCACCACAATAAGGCTGATGTCCTAGGAGGTTTTATTGTCAATATATCTGCATTATGAGTTTTTCTTTTGCTATAGAGTCTTCTGTAAAATAAAATTAAAATCTTCAGATGCATCTAGACTTATATAAGTTTTGAAGTGTTGAATTTAAAACAAATCTTAAACAAGGATGGTGTATATCCTATGACACAAGATAGGTGAATGTAGATTGTATGCAAGAGAATGTAGTGGACACTGAACAGCAGGGATAGTTCTACTGATCTGTCATCTTTGGTCTCAGCTGTCAAGTCCTCTGTTTGTTCCTGGAAACAGCAATAACGGAGCTGGACACCACGTTGCCCAACGGAGCAGTTGTGCCCTTTATAGTTGCGGTACCTTCATTCTTTCGCTGCCCTTTTTTGACTTTGAGCAGATGAAAAATGGGTGAAAATCCTATTGAGAAGCATTATGAGCCTTGTAATGTTTCTGTTTGGCATTAGTGAAGTCCTACGTAGTTCTGCTAAAAATCATCTGTTCTTTACTGCCAGAAGGCAAAGAATAAGTATATAAAAAAAAATCTCACTGAGCTATATATAGGATGTGACATAAATCCAGCATAATCTGATGACATTCTTGTATTCCTTTCCTCTAACTTCCTTTTGCCACCTCCTGTGAGTAACTGTCTTCTATATCTCGCATGCCCTTTATGGGCTGTCTCCTGCTTTGTGATACATAAACACATACTGCCACATTTCTTCTAAGATCACTTACTGTTCTCAGTCATTTACTGCATAAGATATGTTGCACAATGTATTCATGTGTCTGGGAGTATGACAGCTTGCTGTGATCTGTGTTAAATACAAATACAGCACGTGAATGTGATGCTGACTGATACAAGCAGCAAATCACAGAATCCAGAGATGGCTAAACCTGCTAGGTTTAGTCTAAGTTTTCTAGAGCTCTGTTCTTTCTTACCTTGTTTTCTTATGCTCTTGTTTCATTTTAATATTCTTAGGTGCTGGCATAGCCTAGTGTTTCGGTTGTACCCAACCATTTTCTAATGGAGTTTCTAACTCCTGCAGTTAGTAAGCAAACTGCTTTCCTTATATAGTGCCCTGGAGATGATACATGTCCTCTCTTTTTCCTTTCTGATCTTTTTTTTAACTCTGTTCCTGTTCCCTACCTGTCTTTCATCTGCATGGCCATTGCTGCCTTCATTGTCTAATGGATGGTTTTTATTCTTGGTTCTCTTATTTTTTTTTTCACCCTAAGAAAAAAGAAGCATTCTGGTACCTTTCACTGATTGAGTGAAGGAAGGTCATATATACTGTAGTCACCTGATTGCTCTATATTCAGAGAAGACAAACTGAATTGTCTTCTCTGAGGTTACATGAAAAAGCCTGGGTCTGCAGCCAGTGGCATGTGTACTGTAGCTGTAATTCAATGGGAAACAAGGATGTATGGTAGATGGTTTTCAAACATTTGTTGCCTGCTTAACTAAGGAGCACATAGGTGTTGGGATAGATCCATAGTTAATACAGGTTGGTTGTTTTTTTCCCCACTGTTTATTTTCTGGTCTGTGCACACCCCTTCTGACAGCCTTTAAGTGGAGGGTTGAGGGCATAGGAATGAGTTGATGAACACTCCCAGGGACAGGATTGTAAATGGACATGTGAATAGTGGAATGTTTTTAGGCTATATTCATCTCTCTTTTTTTGGTGTAATTTTGAAACTTTCCAATTAATACTCTGTTCCACACTTTCAAACATTTGATTATATGCTATATGTTATTTTATTCCCTCCAGGTTTGTAGGGAAAAGGTGTGAGTTTCAGTATTATTAATTATTTTCAACTTCATGCAGTCTGCTTGAGCTGTTGTGGGAAGGACAGTGGCTGATGTTAGAGTAGGGGAATACTATCTGCCTATAGTTCACCCTAGGAGTGTGACCCAATTGTGGTATTCGTGGCTTCTCCACTGGAATCTCAAAGCAAATCTCTTCCCTTTTAAGGGAAAATGGATGACTCAGTGCCTGAATGAAGTTCTCTGTTAAGAATGTCAACGAGTCTGATGGTATGAGTGGAAGGCTTATTCCAATGCCTATATTTTTTTTTTTTTAATATTTTTCCCCCCTCTCCTCTTCCTATAGGATTGTTCCACTTAGAAAACTTAAATTTTAACTTCTTTAAAAGTTGTACTGCTTTGGTTTCCTGTCACCTGTGGTGTAGCAGCTGTTTCATCATCATAAAAGACTGAACTTTAAGAGCCTTCAGCAACAGAAACTGCCTAAGTGCAGAGCAGTAATATTTATTAGTCTAAGCTCATTACTTAATATTTTTGTAGAGTTTTTATAGAACCATGATTTCTAAGCCGTGTTTTTTACCATAGTTACAGGATCATCTGTGCATAACAGTCTTCTTGCCTACGTGATACCAGAATAATTGTTTTTACAGCCTGCTCTTGAGGTGAAGAATAAATGATCATTGTAAACCTTTCTCACATTGTCATCTTTTAATCTTGATCCAATTATTTACACTGAGCAGCAAGATACAGGGTGCCGTGGCCTGGACAGAAAGGAAAATTTACTCCTGCAGTTTGATATTTTAAAATCCCCAGAAGAGGACAAACTGTTTTGTTTGGAGAAAACTAACAAGAAAAATGATTCCTTTCCTGGACTTCTATTTGACCAGTAAATGCGAAAGGAGGATTAGTTTATAGATTAAGAAACAGAAAAGTTTTTCAATTTCCTTCCTGTCTCAACAGCTAAGCTCTCCAATTTGAGTTTTCTGTCTACATGCCCTAGGCTTGTAAGGATCCCAGTGTGTCTTCATTATGGCTGCAGGGAGTCAGACTGCACAAATCTAATTGTGGGTTCAGGTCCTTACTTTGTTGTTCTATGCTGCCCATTAATGTGCATGTACTCTACTGAGACTGGCGTCTTTGAAAAAATGATGTATTGCATAAAGTCGTATGCATCTTCCAATGTAGTATAATAAAATAAACATTATGAAGAACTAACCTGTTTAAGGGTGGAGAGGGTGATATCCATTTACCTGGAAAGCGGAGGAGTTGGAAGTCAGGCACTGTGGTTATGGGCATATATTTTATTTCTCTCAAATTCTTTTCAGGGTAAGTGAAGAAAAGGAGGTGACAGAAGAACGGCTGAAAGCTGAACAGGAGTCATTTGAGAAGAAGATCAGACAGCTAGAGGAGCAGAATGAACTTATCATCAAGGAAAGGGAAGATATCCTTTAAAAATATGTGCAGGGGCTCACTGTCTGAAATAAAAAGTGAACTACAGAGAAATAATTGTTCTAATTTATGGCAGAGAATAAATCTGCATGTGCTGCCATTCAAAAGCAATCAGAGAGATGACTTGTCAGCATGTGACGCTGGTTCATTTGAGCTTAAAACTGCCATCCAGCTGTTCCTATGATGTTGTTTTGCTATGAAATAGATATTTGTCAACTAAAAACGACAATAAGGAATTTATGCATTAAAATATGGTTAAAGATTTATTTTTTTTTTTTCTTAATCCTGTTAGGTTGTTGTAATTGAGGTCTAAAACTTGCATGGTATTTTGGTGCTTGCTCTCCATGTCCATTGAAAGACAATTTACGCTGAAGGCATATAAACTGTATGTGCGTACTAAGAGGTTTAGCCAGTTCAGACTTTTTTGATGTAATTTTTGTTTGGTTGGGTTTTATGTAAAGTTAGCTGATTCTCTTTTCTTGCAGGCTGTGACTTCCATTTCTGTTAAGCTGCATATGTTTAGTTCCAGTCCTTGAATATCACATGAAAAGTCAACGTTTCAGGAATTACAATATTCCTTCAATGTGGTGTGATAGACCTTCACAAAATTATCTTGTTTATCTCTCTTCCAAATCTTTGATGTTGAGGCTTTCTCGTTAAGTTCCTCAGAAGATTGACTACAGTGGGATATTGGAAGAGACGGTGCTTGCAACTACTAGAAAAGGAAATAGTATGTGATTCATCAGGAGCTGTATTTCAAATAGGGAGGATACTAATGCTGTTTTAAAAAGTGTTGATGAAATCTAGCGTGCGATACCATTTTCAGTCCTGAGTCATCGCTTGTTTAAGTGAAAAATGAAGTTAGTGAAAGAAGTTGTGGAGAAGGGTTACTTAAGCTGATGAGGGTCCTGGAGAAGCTGTTTTATAAGAAATGGTTGAAATGTCTGTGTGTGTGACTATGCTTATGGATCGTGACTGGCCATATAGAAGTAGGTTGAGATGGTGGTAAGGTGAATAGAGGGAGGGAGAGGCAATGGTGAGTCAAAAATCAGTGTTCAAGCTATAGCCCAGTGTTGGAACAGAAATAAATGAAGATAAACAGTCCACAAACTGTTAGAGGAGAATTCTGCAAAATTCAAGTGATCATATTTCACAGTTTAGCACTGGAAGGCTTAAAAAAAAAAAAAAGCTTTTTTATGATGGAGCTTATGAAAGGAATTGGCTTATGGAAGGAATTCAGTGAAATGTTGTCTCTGTCAGCAGGGGATTACCCTTGATCACCCAGAAGATCCCTTGTAGCACAGTGGCGCATGTATTGATAGAAAGAATTTGGCCTGTTTGTACTAAATAATATACACATCAACAAGCTTAGCCCAGCATGGAACAATTCCTGGAAAATATTAAATCTGCCATTGGATGTAACTAAAACTCTTTTACATTGATTTCACTGAAGTTAGTATTTTGTTGTATATTATGTCTTGTGTATTCAGTCAGCTTATGAATGTGGGTAGGATGTATGTTCTTGATGAATATTTTTTAATTTTATGTACAGAAATCTTTCAGTAATTCATCTGAGGTTTATTTGGTTACTGGGAAGGAGGCATGCTTGCTTGGGGTTTTTTGTTGTTTTCTTTTTTTTTTTACTAGAAATAGATTGCGCAAGCATGAATACTTTTTCAGAAGTCTGGTAGACAGAAGGTTAATGCATGCAATTTTACACTTCATAAAACTCTGTGAAACCTAGAAATATAAAACAAGGTTATAATTTAAAACAATATAATTTTAACTACTGCAGTACTTACCTATCATACATGAATGATTCAAGATCCTCAATATACCTCTGATCAGTTAATTTTTTTTCATCCTAAAGCTTGTTGCAGAGGCAAGAAATGGTAGAAATGACTTCCCAAAGTTGAATACAGATTCTGGCTATTTTCAAGTACAGCAACTTGATATTTTTCAAGTTCTCTGATACATACAGAGTTTAGTTACAAATAAGATATCAGAGATATAATACTGTAAGAAAAAAACTTCAAGTCTGGTAAAATGAATTTTATTTACCTTTTTTCTTTCTTTCTTCTCCCAAAGCTAATTTATTCTCTATGAAATTACTTTATCTAGCCCAGTATTTAAAATTACCCCACAATAATAAATTGGTACTTCTGATATAACTGCAGCTATACAGTGAAGTGTAATTTCAACTTGGTAAAGCTTTAATTTGAATAGCACAGGCAGTGTGGATTTTCTTCAGGTACAGGTATTTTGTTGTTCGGCTTTGGTTATTTTTCTTGTTAGGAGTCTTGCAGCAAAGATACATTTTGTGTGTTTGAAATCCCTCCTTTAAAGGCAGGTTTTCCTTTTTGTTGTGGTTGATTTTATTTTATTTTATTTTCGAGAAGCTGTCTGGACCCATCCGTTTGAATTCATTGCTGATGAACCATGAGAAAAGCTTTTGGGGAGCAGGTGGCAGGCAGTGATCTCACTGCAAAGCCTTGAGTAACTTAAAGGTATTGAAAAAACAGTGTCTGTCTGCAGCCTAAGCTTACATTTGCTTTGGAATTGGTCAGTGCTGTCTGGGTAGGGAACAACAACTAAAATTTCATGCCAACTTAAAAGTAAATTCTATCCTTCCATTGTAGTTGAAACTTTGGAATTTGAGTAGTTTTTACTAGGGCCTGCAGTTAATGGAGGACAACTCTGATGAGCACGCTGTGAATCATAAGTAGGACAGCCTGTTGTCAGGGTTGCCAAATACTTATTATCACAGAATTAAGGAAAATTAGGGATTTCAAGTAGTCATCTGGTCTACTCCTTTTCCCTAAAGCAGTATCATTAGACTTGTCGTATTAACTTATAATTTTGTTAAAAGTAGATATTTTGGCTTAGCTTTTCACAGGGCGTGCCCACTCGAAACTGACCTTTTTCAAAAGGAAGAAGAAACACTTGATCGAGTGTTTCAACCAGTTCCAGAACCAAAAGAGGATCAAAACTGTATTTTGTCTATAATAAACTCTTGTAGCTTTTTTTTTTCTAAAAAGTTCTAGTGCTGCTCTTCTTTGCAGATGTGAGGCTTAGTGGTGTAAGGTGTGCATGCTGTGATGACACCTTTTGCCTTTCTTACTAAAATGAGCACAGCTGGGCCAAAAGGGAAAATCCAGTAACAGGAGCTCCCCTTCTTTTGATGCCCTCCATGGTGAGAGCATCTTACAGCTATGAGGATGAGAAAGTGGTGGAAAAAATTAATCTTCTGAAAGGGAATATCAAGCAGGAGGTAGAGGAGAATACATAAGTGGAGGCTGTACTGGGCAAGTGAGAACCAGAACTTGGCTGGAAGGAAGGACTCGGAAAAGGAGGTTGGGTTGGGCATGGCTGATGTAAAAGTAGTAAAGCCTGTATCTGAGTTCAAAGGTATTTGGGATCAGTCAGAGGATTGTAAGACAGCTGCTGAAAGCAGGGATGTATCTCTTTAGTGTATTCTAGCACCCTCCAAACTTTGAAAGAGAATTTGGGACTAAGCTCACATGAGAAGGCTCACTATGTTTAACCTGCCTTCGTGTCTTCCTCAGCATCTGCTCTTAGTATTTGTCTCCTCTTTGCTTCTGTGTTCCCAGATCATGATGGATACATACCAGGTGACTGAACTGTGCTTCTAAATGTGGCAATCTAACGTCTGGTGTTGCCCTTGCAGTATTTGACTTGCAAGTTCAATGTTCTTTTTTTTTGTTGTTTCATTTGCGTTTTCAGAATAAGGAATGAGCAACGTGCACCATGTTATGCTCTTTTGGCTACTTGTGCTGCCCCTTCTTCCACTTCTGCTGGGAGCTGTTAAGGGTAAAGCTTCTGGCTTTCCTTTTTTTTCTGGCATATTTGCAAGCACCTATTATTAATTTAGGTCCCAAATATGATTTAATTTAAGAAACAGGAAAATATCTTCTGTAACATGCCCCAGTACTGTCATCTAGATGTCTTAGGAAAGAAATTATAATAATGAGATTATTAAGAAACAAATACTACTGTTATTTCAGAGCCCAAAGAAATTATGTTATGGTCTTTAGCTTTTCTTGTTATCACCATTAAGGATTGTTTTCATCTAAATTTGGTAGTGTTGCATAAATGAAGAAGCAAAAACAGTTTTAACATTTCTGTGAAGGTTTATTAATTGGGGAAGAGGGAACTTCTTAAAATTTTTTTTTAAAACAATTGGGTATTGAATTCCAAGGTATGCTGAAATTATCATTTGGGAGACAAAGAATAGCAAGGTAAAGGGCAGAAGAGATTCTGCTTATTACAAACATATTTTTTTCTCTTTGTAAATGTAAACTCACTAGCCCTACTAAACTACTGTTTAGATTTATATTTAAAATGTACCTGATTACTTAAGCTTTTTGTTGGAATTATTTTCTGGCTGAAAATGATCTGTTGATTTGAAGACCCAGCCAAGTTGATACAACAAATCCCATATGATTTACTTTTCTAGTCTTAAAAATGATCAGAGACTCTGTTTACATGTGTCCTTAATATTGTAACTTAGGACTACTTAATTAGTTGATTTTGCATGCATTTAACATGAATATTAATTTAACTAAAACAGTTCATTTGCTGATATTGTTAGTGAGACCTAGAATATTAATTTGCTGGAAGAATAATGGGCCTCTTATAAAAATTATCTAGAGTCTTTAATAAAATGCTCTTAGTTTTGCCATATACTGTTTATTACATTATTTTACATATTCTCATAAATTAGTACTGTTTACATATTTTCTCTTTTTCGTATTTCTCTGTGTTAATGCAGAATTAGTATTATTTTTCAGAAAAAAAGTAGTTGCTGAAGGCCAAAGAACAAGACAATAGAAAAGCAGGTATCAGAGAAGAGAATTTACTGGTTTGTTCTGTACTTACTTTTCTTGATAGTGTTGAATTTGCTTTTCTGAAAATGGGGAGAGAAGTAGGCACTTCTTCTGTTTCCGTTTCTTTTTCGGTCTGACCCACCAA